AGGTAACTAACTATAAGCACAGGGGCAAGGGATCGTTAGCAATGGAGTTTGACAATCCCATTGCTAGCAATATGCCTTATTAGGTCGACTTCCACGTGGTTCCCCCTGGAAACCATCGTGAACAATTCGTGTTGAATTCGTCACGATGGGCTAACTGACCTACTTCATCCTCATCTATCATCCTTCACTGGTGCCCCGCCGGTGTATACCGATAGCGCGGGTGGGGTTACCATTTCATTATCATGCATTAAAAAAAGAACTACGAGCACAGGCGGGGAAGGGATTGTTAGTAATGCAGTGTAACAGCTTTGTTGCAGCAATATACCCTGTCAAGTCGACCTACACACGGTTCCCCCTGGAAACCATTGTGTTTAAATTTTAATGAATTCACCACGATGAGCTAGCTGACCTGCTTCATCCGGGGGGAAGGGATTGTTAGTAATACCGACTACCAGTCTCATTGCTGCAATATATCCTGTCAGGTCAACATGGACATAGTCCCCTCTGAAAACCATTGTGCTGAATGCCAGGTGTATTCATCACGATGAGCTAACTGACCTGCCTTTTCATTCACAGCTATTCATCTCTCACTAGCCTTGCCAGTGTACATCATTAGCACGGGCGGGGTTGCCATTCCGTTATCATCCATTAAAAAAGACTTGTTTCATTCTTATTGTAAGAGAAAACATCGCAATGGAAGCGTTTTATAAAGAAAAAATTCTGTCAGTCGAGGAGGACTGACTTGACATCGGCTTCGTGACTTCTCTCTGCTGTAGATGATCGGCAGTTCTTTCTTAACCCGTATATGCACGTACACACAAATTCTTACAGGCCCTTCAGGGCATATATAGTTCAAAACACTCAATCATATATATTTTACGTCTCTGTTCAGTCAATACTTTTATTACACTTAAGCTAAGGTGGATGGAAAACAATATTGACGGACTCCAATATTGTAAACTGTGTTATATTATAAGGGGGGTAAGGCTTTATTTTGAACACTTAGAATATAAGGCGAACATTTGTACTTCACAATAGAGCAATATCTGTATATGTAATGTTCTGGCAAATAAACAAATCTATCTATCTATCTTTTACCAGAGGGAGACTTTGTACAAAAGTCATTTGCTTGGGCACCTCTGACACATTCTTGTTTCTACCGTGAAGGAGTTATGTTTGCATGGCTGTGTTTCAGTTTGCAGGGTAGGATATGGCAGTGAATTTACAGGGTACAGAGGAATAACGCCTGAGTCCTCAGGAATGACAACGCATGGGGGATATCATGGGCGAAACAGTATACTCTGTTATGTCTATAGTACTGCTCATGTCTATAGATGACGGTTACCACTTTCCATCAGGAGGGCCGTCAGCTTGTTTGCCATTCTAAGTTGTATAAAAAAAAATAGATTAACACTTGAGTCCTCAGGAATGACAACGCATGGGGGTATCATGGACAAAACAGTATACTCTGTTATGTCCATGGTACTGCTCATGTCTATAGGTGACGGTTACTACTTTCTATAAGGTGGGCCGTCAGTTTGTTTGCCATTCTAAGTTGCATAAAAAAAACTTATCTATCAACCCTCACTGGTGCCGCACCAGCATATACCGAAGACGCAGGCGACGTTATCATTTCATTCTTATTGCATAAAATAACTACTTACCGAGTACATACAATAGTTTTCACGACGATGTAATAATAAAATTCAGGAATCCTCCAGAAATCATCTTGAATAATTCCTCGTGAATCCATGCTCACCTTCTGAAAATTTTTTACTGGTACCTCGGCAATAAAGACAGTGGTTACCATTCCTTTTTCAGCAGACTTCAAAACGAAGGCGATTCTCAATTCGGCTGTAGACTGATTTGGAAAATTCTTCTTTTATCTGAAAGCATATACTTGGTCCCATAGAAATATTATAAAAATCGGTTTAGTAATAAGTAATTTAGCATTCAAATCAAAATAACTGGTTCTGCCACAATTGAGACCGGAATTTCTGTTAATTTTCATCAATTAAAAAAAAAACATGCAACGGCAATACCCTCCAAGTGCAATATTTAGTCATTTAACGTCATTAATAAATCAAGAAAAGTTAGTAAGAAATAGAAGTATGTAATATATAGCAATATCTATATACTTTTTCGCAAACATGCTTGGAAATGTGAGCATTATTTTGACAATCTTCTTCGAGATAAATCAAATTTGCCGTACTGGCCAGATACATGCGGGCAGCGGCCGGCAAAAGTTGTATGAAAATTCACATCTGTCGTGTTTTGCGGCCAGATAAATTATTATGTAAACTATCTGTCCTGTAATTTAAAAATTAAATGACCTTTTATTTCGAAACATGACTACCAAGGAGGTAACTAATACAAGGTTTTATTTAAATTTCGAACTAGTTTGTAAATAGAAAGCTGTTTATTGAAAAAAAAACGAAGGAATATTATGGCGCGTGAAAAATTATTATTGTTCGTTATTCGTCATTGAACTTAAAAAGTAAAATTGTGTTTTTGATTTCCGCGCATTGTTTGAGAAAAGTATTATACAAGCCTTGGCCACAACTAGGCATTGATCGACTTACGTATGTGTGCCACGGCTACGCCTCGGCCCACATTTACACGTTTGTCCATCAATGCCTCGGTTGCTGACCGCTGCAGTAATGTACTATAGTTACAATATTTATATACTGGCCCAAAACGAATATGTTAAAAATCTAATATCCAAAAAATTATATTGAACGTCAGACTTTTAACATATTCGAAAATAGATATCCAACCGTTATGGATGATATCGAAATGCTTTTCCGCCATCAATGTCCAGAGGATCCCAATAAATAGATATCGGATCGGTATCCATGTTCTCATACCTAGTATAAACATTACGCTTTTTGAATATTGATATTGCTCCAGAAAGCATTGGCTAAAGGGTCCATTCATGCATAAGACATCATTTTCAAATCCATCTATTATTTATTCCATCAATAGTACCAATGAATAAATACCGGTATTATACAGTAGACTGCAACTAGTGTTACCAGATTGGGTAAATTTTTTCGGAAATTTGGGTAATTTTTTTGTGATCGCAAAATTTTGTATATTTTTGGAGAAAAATGCGTCGAAGGAAGTGCAGAAATTTTGGTAACAGTAGTTGTACTAGTAACTAGGATCTTAGTACTTGTAAAGACTTTAGAGGTATATAGTTAAATAAAATACGATATTCAAGGTAGATACATAACAAAAGATAAAAAGAAGGAAGAAAATAGAAATAGAAGGAATGACCTTTTTTCGTCGTTCACTTTACGGCACGTGGCATGAACGTAATGAAAAATGATACAAGTTTGTGATTGGATAAAGGAAATCTTATCAACTTGGAGAAAAAATATTTAATGTTTGGGTAAAAATCAAATTCGGCATATGGCAACCCTGTGTGCAACCCGAAATTGTCTAGTAGGTAATTTTCACATCGCATCGGACACATGCTTCCGGGCGTAGACAACCAAATTGGCCGACATTGTTTCAAAGCGAGGTCAACACACGGACAAACATAATTACACATAATTGGTAAATTGTAGCCCCCACTATTTAGACATCTTGAAGGACAAGGTTGTGAGACAATTTTATAGGTATAAACATCGAAACAATCAGGTATATAGATATTTTACAACAATATAAAACTTGGTATTTTAATCTTGATCCACAGCTGAAAATAGGCCTCCCCATAAGGGGGGTTTTGTAGTTACTATACTTGGGTTAGGCTTCGATGATATTTTTAAAGGGGAAGCTGCTCACCCGTCAACCATTCAGTACCTTGATAGCTTTGCTAATTGTGTACCAATCAGGACTGGCCTTTGACGGCACTGGAACAGGCCAGTTTTTGACAGCGCCTCTTGTTGCGATACCTTACTGATCATATTAAACGTATAGCGCCCCGTCTTTTCTCAATTGATTTCAGAAAGATGGAACTTCTCGATTCGGTTATATTTTTTTATGTTTGTTATTTAATCGGTGAAGATTGAATGGTAAGCCCACCTACACCCTCGATAGAAACTGACAGGGCACCGGTGAAAGATGATACGTGAATATGAAAGCAGGCTAGTTGGTCCAACCAACTGGCATCGCAGCGACTTTACTAGGAATTAACCACGATGGTCTCCCCCCGAGAGAAGCTTGTGGAAGTCGACCTAATAGGGTATATTACTAGTAGTGGGATTGAAAGGAAAGATTTAGTAATGGGGTAGGTCGACCTCCTCGCAATTACTCCCCAAGAAACCATCATATTTAATTCCTTGTGAATTCGTAACGATGAAGCCAACTGGTGTAATTTCATCTTCACCTTTTTTATAGGTGATAATGAAATAGTAACCCCACCCGCGCTATCGGTATACGCTGATAGGGCCAGTGAAGGATGATAGACGAGGATGAAACAGGTCAGTTAGCCCATCGTGACGAATTCAACGAGAATTGTTCACGATGGTTTCCAAGGGGAACCACGCAGAGGTTGACCTGATAGAACATATTGCTAGCAATGGGGCTGTCAAACTCCATTGCTAACAATCCTTTTCCCCCTGCTACCAATCCATTATCACCCATTAAGTAGTGGGACTTTTCCTCCATTAACAACAATCCCTCCCTCCAACTGCTCCCTAAAGTTAATACTAGTACCAATTTTGATAATTTCCTTTGCAACTGACAAAGTAATGCTATTGTCTTACGCTCTTAAATTGTATATTGTAATAATTAAAATTATAAAAAAGACAATAAAATTTGTATGAATATCAACCTGAAAGTATGTATGATTTTATTTTAACACAGGCCGCAAATGAGTATACAGATCACCTGATGGTATGTGACTACCTCCGCCCATGATCACTCGTTACACCAGAGGTAATGCAGGTGTTCTGCTGGCCTTTTAAAACAGAATATGCTCTTTTTTATGGTTATGACGACGTCTTTTATCATTTTCTATGTATTAATAAAACAGAAAAAAATAAAGTAACGGCTAAATAAAATTCTTTATTTCATTTTACAATTTTTCTTGTGTCTTAATATTTCAACGGGTGTCATGTACAGTGTATCATTGCAAATATCGCATTTGAATTCTTTGGCATTGGGTTTATTTTCCCTTGGCGCTCGAGACGGTTCCGGCTCCTGCTTGATCGTTCTAGAAGAGCATGTGAACTGCTTATGCTGCAGTCTTTCTAGAGGCGAGAAACATAATGCTATATTACAGTCTGGACACGACCAAGTGAGGCTGTACGTTTCTTGGTATACGTTGTAACTCCAATCTGTATCCACCACGCTGAGAAAATAAAAATAAACATTAATTTACTAGCTATATCCTATGACTTTACCCGTCTGAGTCAGTATATAAAGTATCCTTTATATATGTGCTAAATTACGATATAACTTACCTGGAGTCCCAAATTTCATTCAAATCCGTTCAGTAGTTTTTGCGTTAAAGAGCAACAAATGTCTATCCATTAAAAAAACCTATCCATGTGAAGGGAGAAGGGAGTATTAATAATGGGAATTAGTAAAGCCATTACCAGCAATATACCCTGTCAGGTTGACCTCCTCGCGGTTCCCCCTGGAAACCGTCGTGATCAATTCCAAATGAATTTATCACTATGTGCTAAGTAACGCTAAGTATCACAAATCATCCTACACTAATGCCTTGCCAGCTGGTATGCCGTTACCACGCAAGCGGGGTTACCATTTCATTATCATCCATTAAAAAACCTACCTGTGTACCAAATTTCTATCAAATCCGTTCAGCCATTTAACATATAAACATACGAACATCTTTCAAACTTTCATATTAATAGGACTGTAGTTTTAAATAATAGTTTTTAATACTGACCAATTATAAACGATATTATCAGTGACATAAACCCCTCCTTTCTTCTCGTGAGGGCGGCATTCGAAGCCTTCCTCGAACGGATTAGGGTCCACATTCGGGTGTGCCTCATCAGCCCCGCAGTATATCACCTTCAGATCACCAGGCAGTAGCCTTTTTATTGTGTAGTACACTTCGCTAGTCATATAAGAGCTTATATCGCAGGACAATTGATGTTGTAACTCTTCGTAAGGCAGCTTCGAGGTCTGCTTCTGAAGTTCGTTTTCAACTGATTTGTTCGGGTTTGCATCTAATAAAAAAAAAAACTATTTAAAAATTTATATTTTACTTATTAAAAAGTTTTTGAATATTTTGCGATCATGTCAATTTGACATGTTTGTCAAATCTCAATTCGATATTTTCTAATTATTTATAATTGATATTTGATATTTGTATATGACCTAGTGACTTTTTTATTATTCATAAACATTACTAGATATATATAAGTTTATACTAAAACTAACAGTAGATAGAGAGTGAATTATTTTACATATTTTTTATTTAAAGGCAATAAAACAGAAACATCTAAAAATAACATTGTACCAACCTGCAAGTCGTCGATTGATAAGTGCCTCCCATCTTTGTCGCAGTTTGGACGCTTTCAATAACAGATTCAATCCCGTTTCTGGATATGGAAACTCCAATAGCAGCCATGAGTCGCACACGATCCTATGGTAGAACATACTTATCAATAATTTTAACATTATTTCTCTGTATGAAAACAAGCACATGTCAGAGAAGGGGACTGTAACCCACTAAAATATTGATGAGTTAGCTTTAACCTTCATTATCATATCATGTTAACTTTCCACTGCTAAACCATGAAGACATAAGGGAGATTTTGTCACGCTTCACCCATGCAACTACAGTCAGGTTTTTGTAAATGTAACCAGAGGTTATTTCTTTGTACAAAAGTCGATTGCACGCCTCTGTCCCATTCGTGTTTCTACCGTGAAACACAGCAGTTGTGTTTGCATGTCTATGTTTCGGTTTGAAGGGTGGGATATGGCGTGAATTTACTGGGTACAGAGGAATAACATCTGAATCCTCAAGAATGGCAACGCATAAAATATCATGGGCGAAACAGTTTACCTTCATGTTATGTCCATGGTTAACTTTCCACTGCTAAACATGTCCCCATAGGCGACGATTACCACTTTCCATCGGAGGACCGTCAGCTTGTTTGCCATTCTAAGTTGTATAAAAAAATGCTTTAAGAAGTACTGCTGCCTATCTCTCGACTGTTAAATTCCCTTAGTCGCCTATTAAAACTCTAATGGGAAAGGAAGAGGTGATCGATTATATGCCGGGACTGTAGTCCCATATAATAGACTTACAAAAATATTCTTTATTGTACTCAAACGGTTATTAAAATGTAAAAACAAACATAATAGTGTACAAAGGCGAGCTTATCTCCAATAGAGATTTCTTCCAGCAAACCTAATATGAGAAAATTGACAGTTCATTAGTAGTTACAGTCATATATGTGTACCAATCGACTTAAATGTTATAGTTAAAAATAAATAAATAAAATGTCTTTACAATTGAAAAAACCAATAGGTATAAATAAATAAATAAAAATACATATAAGTAATTACATATAAATAGATAGATATATATTATATATAATACACAAATATAATACCTAATTACGTACATCAGCATTGTGAGAGGTAATAATAAAATATCTGACGTACCTACAATTTTGTGTTCGTTGTAAATTGATTACAAAATGACAATACCTTGTAAAACCCATATTGGTGTCGATGGAATGTGCTAGAAGTAACAAAGTCTGCGCCGCGGGCATCCTCATTGAATTTACTATGTACGGTTTTGTTGTCTCCAACAGCGATCTGCAAATATATATATTTTTTTAATAATGTAATATTTAGAAATTTCTTATATAATTTTGTTTCGTTTTTTATTTAACTTTTTTTATGTTTATGTTTCTTTTTATGTTTAATTTTTTTCACTAATAGTTGCAAACTAATGGCTTTGTTGCAGTCGCATTTATTATTGGATCATGCTGTGTGCACATGTTGTGGCAAGTTTACCTGATCAATACATTAATGTACTTGCATGTTATAATTTAAGTTTCTATTTGTAAACTTTTGTTAAGTGCGCCTAATAAATAAAATAAAAATAAAATAAATAAAAATAAAATAAATATAATTTGGAACGGCAAAGAAATAGACAGATTAATCATAATATTTTTTCATAATAAGCTTGTCTGCCATTTCAAATCGCTAAAGCAAGAAGACAATAAAATTTATATACATATTCACTTACAAATAACACAGTATTTGATGTCTATTGGACAGCGGCAATTTACTCTTGTATCCGGCCGGTATGTCTGTCTGAATATCCGCTTCTGTGAGTTGCAGCACTTTCGGCTGCTTCCCGAAGAACGATGTGGGATGGAGGAACACGAAAGGTTTGCTCCAAGTGTGATACAGCTGCTCCGCATTCGACTATAAAAGACGATTATTATAGATAAATCAATACACATAATAAAATCTGAACTGATCGCTGCCTGTACATGGAAGATGTATAACAAAAACTATTATAGAGGGGCTTTATGAAAGTAAATTATTGGTTTGGCCGAAAGAGATATCTTTTCGAGAAAAGCCCACTCTTATTAACAAGTTGTTAAACTAATATCTATAATCATAGAATAGTTCTTATAATTATAACGACAAAGCTCACTTTACCTTGCAATAGTTAAACTCATCAGCCACTGCTATTTGAGGATATAGTGCTCGACATAAAACCACCTGAAATGAAACAAATATAATAGTCTTTAAGTTTTTTAAGAGCGGTTCTTAAGCGGCGACTCCGTATAGGCAAACGCAGTGTAAGACAATCCCCCACTAGATGGAGCGACAACCTGAAATGCATTGTATATATGCATGGAAATAAAAAAATGGAAGCCAGTGTATGCAACTGGCTTAGGACTGTTCCTCATGGCAGTCAGTTTCAGTAAATTTTGGTGATATATTTATCACCAAAATTAATTAGAAATGCCACAATAACATAGCATAAGACTCCTACATAGATTCTTCCAATATCTGACAAAATAAAAAAAATATATAATAAAAAATAAATTATTACACAGTTTTCAAATACCTTCAACATAACAAGATCGCGTCCACTAGATGCGCTCGACCCGGATATAAGTGCCCGGATCCGAGCGGCGTCGTTTGTCATCCGGAACTCTATGTCCCGGATGTCTATGGCATCACTCTCGTTGTCTCTCTCATCTATAATCTCCCAAGAGTCAACTTTAAGGCGTTTTTTACGTTTCGACTCCTCCGCTGCCTTTTGTTTGTACTGTCTGGAAATGTAAAAAGTATATTTATCTCTTGATTATTACATTACTATATAAATTATTGAATTAAGAGGGACGCTGCTGTCCATCCCTCGCCCTCCCTTAGTCGCCTCTTACGACACCCACGGGAAAGAAAGGGATGGCCTATTCCATGCCGGGAGCAAACGGGATAAATTATACAGTGAACGCTCTATTTAAGGAATCTATTTATAAGCAACATTCTTTATGTTTTATTTACTCTACTCAGCTTAGTAAAGGAAATAAGTAAAAATATTTTTCAGACGGTAAGTATTTATATACTCCTTTTTTCCCTATAAGCAACTTTTCCCAATAAGAATTTGAAAATAAGAAATTTTAAAAAATGGCACCCAGTAGATGAAAGTTAGAATCAATGTTTGCCAGATTAGCTAATTTTATATATAAACTAGCTGACCCCGGAAACGTTGTTTTACCACTTATTGCGAAATATAAAAGGCGCAATTAAAATACAGGGGTTGATCGTAAAATGGTGAAAATTTGAGGTTGTGTGTATTTTTCAATGCTAAATCATAATAAAATAAAAATGGAAAAATTTGTCAAAAAATTAAAAAAATATTTTTTTGGGGAAGGTCACCCTTATCATTGAGGGGTATGAAAAATAGATGTTGGCCGATTCTCAGACCTACCCAATATGCACACAAAATTTCATAAAAATCGGTAAAGCCGTTTCGGAGGAGTTTGGTAACAAACACCGTGACACGAGAATTTTATATATAAGATTTAGCCAGATTCGAACTTGCGATGTTTGGAGTATATAAACAACATAACTATAACTCTTATACGAAGACTAAATTATTTATAAAAAAAAAATTGAATTATCATAAAAATATTATACTCGAATTTTACCTTCTCATGTCCTTCAATTGTTTTAACTGGCCATGACGTAGCGCCCTCTCTGTCGACGACATGGTCTCTGGTTCTACGGTTTCCATCAAATTATTATCCTGTATCCCAAAGAAACATGAATTGAAAATTAGTCTCTTTTATGATGAGAAATAGTGACCGTCGCCTATAAATTTGAACTGCACCATGGAGATCACATACAATATGGAGACACCTATGGAGAAAACTAAGGTGTTTTGTTTAATGTGTGAAAATGAAATGGTAACCCCGCCTACGTTACAGGTATAGGCAGGCCAGATGACTCATCGTGAAGAATTCAACAAGAATTAAACACAATGGTTTTCAGGGGGATCCGCATTGAGGTCGACCTGATAATTTGCCCATTGCCAGCAATATTAGTTAGAAACCATTACTAACAGCCCCTATCCCCAGACTAAGGCGTCATACCTACTCCGTACTCTGTAAACTCATTGGCATATCTTACTTTTTTTTTGATAGGTGAAAATGGAATGGTAATCCCACCTGCGCTAACGGGATACGCTGGCGGGGCACCAGTGAAGGGTGATAGGTGAGGATGAAGCAGGCCAGTTAACTCATCGTGACGAATTCAACAAGAATTATTCACAATGGTTTCCAGGGGGAACCACGTGAAGGTCGACCTAATAGGGCATATTGCTAGCAATAGGACTGTCAAATTCCATTGCTAACAACCCCTTTCCCCACGGCATATCCTACTTCAAACGGAAACACTAACCATACAAACACAACTGTTGCATTTCAGTGTGAGTCAGAGTTAAGAGGTGAAGACAGAGATAGATTAAAAAACTCCATTATAACATCCGTTAATTAAACTAACAACTATTATTACGCATCATAATAGGATTTTCTTTACACACTGACAATGTACACACACATGTAATATTACCATATTAGTAGGTTGCTGCTGAGAGTAGGCAACTCTAGTCTATTATAATATAATTTTCATATAAATTTCATTTAAACAAAATTTCATTAAAAAGATTTTATCATCATAATTTCACCCATTATCCATCCACTGCTGGACGTAAACCTCCCCCATAGACTGCAATTAAGAACGGTCCTGAGCCACCTGCAACCACTGACTCCCTGCAATACATTTCCGGTCGTCACTCCATCTAGTGAGGGGTCGTCATACACTGCGTTAAATTTATTAAAAAGCTTTACATTTACAGAAATCAGCAGCAAGATCTTGGCCTATAGGCTAAAACCGGCCCTGTTTGTGCCCTCACCTGCAGCAAACTCCTCAACTGCGCAGCCAGCTTGGTCAGTTCGTACAAGCGCTGCTCCTCGATGCCTCTCCTCTTGCACCAGGCGCGACCGCCCCGCCCCTCCGCCTTCACGCTCAGCCACGCGCAGTAAAGTGACAGTAGGGTTATTGGGTCGCCATGATCCGACTCATCGGGCTTACGCGCATTCTTAAAATAAATATATATTTTCTGGTATAAAAGAAAAACATATACTTGTTTAGCATAAGCGGTTACTGTAGTCTATGAATGCTTGCAATAACAGTGGATTTACGCGCACATTGCCGTCCTTGAAGAAACCTCTTTACTCCTTCAATCGACTTTAAACAGAAAAAGGTTCTCAATTCTGTTGTATTTTTTTTATGGTCATTACCTCGCTGCTCCTCTGTCATTGACGTCTTTGACGCCACTAGCGTCTAGCTGTCTCAGTTCTGAACCGAATTAAAAAATTCTTATTTTATCTGAAAAGGAATACTTCCAGATTGATCCCATAGAAATTTCATCAAAATCGGTTACGTAGTTTAGTTCTTAGAACAAAATAATTGTTTTCTCGCATTAGAAGTCGTTTTTTTGTAAGACACGATCTTTAATTAATTAATTAATTTCCTAAATATTAAAAGCTATGTTTTGACCAGAACTTGAAAAACATATACAGTAACATATATCCTTCTTCATCCTAGATACACGCCAAATGTCGTGACGATTGGTTGAGCATTTACGACGCCAAAAGTAAACAATACAAAGTTACTTTCATACTTACATTATTAGTAAAGACTATCTGTATCCCGTGGCACAGTTTGCGTGAATCATTAAATCCAGTATTCTACATTATAAATTATAGCCTATTCGTGTAGCAAATTTTATTCAAATTCGTTCAATAGCATTTTTGCATGAATTAATCCATCCACACATTCTCACAAACATACTCATTTATAAATGTAGTATGATTTATTATATATTTATAATTATATAGACTAAAAAGCCACAAATTAAAGCGCATGCATAAATCAAAATATAAAAACAAAGTATATTATTTCATGAGTTTTCTATATAATCGATATTCAATAGCGTGAAGATAGACTTACCTCACATTCGAAATCTCTATGTGCTCTTGTAGTATAAATCGAGCGAATACCTAGCGCTGCCGTAAGAGCGAGGGCGGAGTCTCGCTTGTGTGGGGGCAACGTGGCAGCACCTATAGCTAACGCTTTGGCCAGACATACTTCTATTGGCAAACTGGCTAGGGCCTTCCCTAGTGACGTCATCTTCTCGTTTGAACTCAGAGCACCCTGGAATACGTATTTTTATTTATACATCTTAGATTGACAAATAGATATCGTCTGTATACATGTATATTGATGACATCACAAACACTATTATAAAACTCGTGAGTAGGCATAGATAACGATCCGTTATCTGTATATTGGGTAGGGGGGGAAAGGGATTGTGAGTAATGGAGACTGAGAATCCCATTGCTAGCAATATACCCAACCAGGTCGACCTCTTCGCGGTTCTCCCTGGAAACTATCATGAATGAATGAATGGTTTATTTTCTCTTCACAAAAGGTAGTATAAAGTGACAACTTGAGGTACAATTTGATATGAAGACCAATTTTGTGAGAGACTGGTGCTTACGGTAGGTTTAGAAAAACCTGATGAATTTATCATGATGGGCTAACTGGCCTGTTTTCATTCTCATCTATCACCCTTCACTGGTGCTCCGCCAGCGTATCCCGTTAGCGCAGGCGGTGTTACCATACCATTTTCAACCCATCAAAAAAAAACTGTATATTGGGTTAATCTTGACATTGATGGCGGAAACAAGGTCGACATCGCCCATATTCGTCGGATATGTATTTTCGAATATGTTAAAAGTCTGTTATTTAGATAACAGACTTTTAATAAAATTAAAGTAATATTGGTATTACTTTTTGAACAACAACCAGACTTATAACATATTAGTTATTGAACCCGTATATAAATATTATGACTAAAATATATAGATATTGCTACATGTTACCCGCCCCTACTCGTAAACTAATAAACAGGGAATTAACAATTAAGAAACAGCAATTGATAATTTTTAATAATATTGGTCTCTGTAATCTCGAATGCTTATGTTTTTCTTTTCATAATCACACAATAAAATGGTCTATACACATACTATTAAGAAATTAAATAATATATAAAAATATATGACTACAATCCCAAATGAAGTAGTCAGAGACTTTTGCCCTCTTTTGCCGCTGTTGTAAATTTCCAAAAAGATATTGTCAATTTAATATTCTTGATTATCACTCTTTTTGCAATTTATTATGTCAAATATATTGTTTTTATATCAATTCACCAATTAAAATTAATAAATACACAAATTAATTAGAACTTATTTACTCACATAATCTATAATATATAAATAAAACTAATATACTTCTTAGAATAACAAAAAAAAAAAATTAATTAATTATCAGTCCCAATCATGATCCGTACCCGACCCAAAGGTCCCCATGACACTTGCGGCATTTCCGCGTTGGATTGCCAGAGATGTCCTTTGAGCCAGATACGAACCAGAACGGCGATCATGGCTCCTATTTACATATTAATTTATCTAAAAAATACTTACATGTTGTTTCAACTCCAACAACGCATTCTCCACAGCGTCCTCTGGTGGCGTATCGATGAACGGAAAGCGTCTAACGTCGTTGACTCCTAATGAACTCATTAGCAAGAGAAGAGAGGACAGTGGTACCCTGGATACTTCGGGTGTGCTGAACGGCTCCATATCAGAGTACTGTTGCTCGGAATATATGCGATAGCATACGCCGGGCCCTGTGTATAAAATTAAAATAAATATTTGTTAAAGATATACAAGATTTTTAATAAAGCTGCATAATGATTTTTTTTTTTTTATAATGGCACATCATGTGATAAGACCTTCCTGAGTGAACACAGAGATAATATGGTCTATTAATACAATCAACCGAACCAAAGAGAATGATTTACTTTCAACGATTGGCTGCACTGTGCTGGCTCGCTTTGTACTTTTTCATGCTACATTTGAAGGATGCGAGGTTATAGATTTTTTTTATACAACTTAGAATGGCAAACAAGCTGACGGCCCACCTGATCGAAAGTGGTAACCGTCGCCTATAGACATGAGCAGTACTATAGACATAACAGAGTATACTGTTTCGCCCATGATACCCCCCATGCGTTGCCATTCCTGAGGACTCAGGTGTTATTCCTCTGTACCCAGTAAATTCACGCCATACACCACGCCACGCCACCCTTCAAACCGAAACACAGCCATGCAAACACAGCTGCTTCACGGTTGAAACACGAATGGGACAGAGGTACCCAAGCAATCGACTATTGTACAAAGTCTCCCTCTGGTAAACACGTCTCGAAAAAGGCCATTCCACATTGTCGCGGTACGGTTTACGTAAGATTTGGCGGATTTTGTAAGCGAGCGCGAGCGGTCATCCGTGTATTTATTTATTGACCCATCCTCGTGCTGCGATATCGGAATATATGACACGTTTAAGATAAGTCGATAAATACATTGACATTTTCATGACTCGTGTCATACATACGAAGCGATACTTTCTATTACTAACAATCTTCAATTTCTTTTTAAATTATAATATTCACTTTATGCAAATCGTAATAAAGTTCATTTTGAATAACCCGCCTACATTAGCAGCTAGAACTAAATGGTGATAGACATACCAGAATAACTACGCTCGACTGCGAACAGTACTTAAGTATTAACATGAGTAGTATAGGCAACAAAAATTATTTGCTCGTATTATATATGTATGTACGTATATTCATAATCAAAAGGATGAAAACATAAACTGACAGAAATAATAATATTTACCTGTCCTTCCGGCGCGCCCTTTCCTCTGATCCGCGCTTGCTTTCGATATCCAGAATTCCTTCAGCCTCTGCATTTTTGTTGTCGAGTCATAACTCATTTCTTTAGCCTGTCAAATTAAAATTATCATTTTACACATCATTACTAATATTAATGATTCGAAACATTCGGCGTTCTATTGTTTCTGCCTAACCTAATAGAAGTGGGGGGAAAGGGATTGTTAGTAATGGAGACTGAGAATCCCATTGCTAGCAATATACCCAACCAGGTTGACCTCCTCGCGGTTCCCCCTGGAAACTATCATGGTTAATTCCTAAAGAATTCATCATGATGGGCTAACTGGCCTGTTTTCATTCTCATCTATCACCCTTCACTGGTGCTCCGCTATCGTATCCCGTTAGCGCAGGCGGGGTTACCATACCATTTTCACCCATAAAAAAAACCTAATAGAAGACAGGTGGGAGAAAAGGGATTGTTGGAAAAAGGATTGTTAGCAATGGTATTTGACAGCCCCAATGCTAACAATATGCCCTATTAGGTCGACCTCCACGGGGTTCCCTTGGAAACCATCGTGAACAATTCTTGTTAAATTCGTCACGATGGGCTAAATTACCTGGTTTTTCATTTTTAGTTATCCCACAGTGGTGCCCCGCCACTATATACCAATAGCGCAGGCGGGGTTGCCATTCTATTATCATCTATTAAAAAAAATAGGAGACTATATATATATATATATATATATATATATATATATATATATATATATATATATATATATAATTTGAATATTTGTAAATATGTATGGATGTTTGTTTGTCTTTCACGGCTTCTGTCTTTGTATGTTTGTGGTATTCAAGTATCGAACCTGCAACCATTTAAAGGTGAAGCAGTGTGTTAAAAAATATTACAAACATAATATGTAATATAAATATTTTATAAAATACTAATGACCCAGCCCGTCTTCGCATGGGTAGATAAAATTTTCAAAAATAATATATAGCCTATATCACTCGCTGATAATGTAGCTTTCTATAAGTGAAACAATTTTGAAATTCAGTTCAGTAGTTTCGAAGTTGCATCCATTACAAGCAAAATTTTCCTCTTTATAACATTAGTATAGATTAAAAATAAAATCTTAATTTACCTTTCCAGAATCAACAACAAATCTTATGCCATCAATGGTGACTGAGGTTTCCGCTATATTTGTGGAGACAATACATTTCCTTACACCTTCTGGCGGATAATCGAACACCTAGAAAAATTAGATAGATAGATAGATAATTTATTTACATTACTTACAGCACACAAATTACAGTAAAAAAACATACACATAATACACAGTAAAAGAGATAAAAGAATGAAAATAAAAAAACAACAAAACAAAAAAATATATATATAAACTAACAATTTCCTTTCTTTCCTTTCCTTCATGCGTGTGCCATAGTAACACAAAATGGTCACAACTCGGTTTATAGCTTTGCCCTTAAAAACTAAACTACTGCACCGATTTTGATAAAATTTCTATGTGACCAATCTGTAAGATTTATAACAACCTTTTAGATAAAAAATAAATTTTCTAAATCGGTTTATAACTAACAGAGTTATGAAGTAACAAACATAAAAAATACAACTGAATCGAAAACCTTCTTTGAAGTCGGTTGATAAATCCAAGTACTATTTATTATAAACGTGATAGGTTCGAGGATGGATGTATTTTTATATACTAATTTTATATACTAAATATAAATTTATGTACTGATTCACTCGGGAATATCGCTAGTTTAATCTGATAATTTTAAGTAAAATTAATTATAAATTTAATTTATGATGGTGCAAAATAATAATTTTGCTAAATTATTAAATTAATATATTAGATTAAGAGGGAGATTTTGAGAAATAGCGAATCGATTGAATGTCTTGAAAAATTCTATTTAAATAGCAATGATTCCTTTTTATCAATGTAGTGTAATGTCCACGAGCCACGAATTATTATTACCTTATTTGTGTTTTTTTTTTTTACAACACAGGGGCAAGCGAGCATGCAGCTCCTGATGGTAAGTGACTACCACCGCCCATGATCACCCACATTTTTTTCATTTTTATTAAATAGAACACCTTACGATCACATCAATCACCAGGTCCCCTGGTTTCTAAAGCTAAGTTTTCTTTTACGTATTACGGATTTCTTTTCTTTTTTTAAATTAATTCCATTTCTTCTTTTATTTTTTACAACACAGGGGGCAAACAAGCATGCGGCTCACCTGATGGTAGTAAGTGACTACCGCCGCCCATGATCACCCACAACACTAGCGGCATTGCAGGTCTGCTGCCGGCATTTTAAAAAGGAATATACTATTTTGACATTGTTAATATGTAAAATTGTTGTATGTTTGTGATTTTGCACTTGTACAGGCTAAAAATCTTCTCATTTTTAACACAATGCAATATTATTATAGAATAAATTGAATTGAATTGAGCCCTTACTTTATCTTGATCCGCTAATGATAGACCACTATGGAGAGGTAACACTATCCAGTTCTTGGTCTTTTCGGCGTACTGTTGAGCTGCATCGCATATCGCTGTGATCTCTTGTACACCGGACATGAATATGAGAAGGTCGCCTCTTTCATCACCTAAAAATATATTTAAAAAAATATGAACAATAATAATAAACTCTTTATTGCGCACAAACACACTTTATTGAGATGTATACAAGGAGTATTTATACAGAATGTGCATATACAAAAGACAGCCTTATCGCTAAAAGCAATCTCTTACAGATAACCTGGCATAAATAAAAAAAAATGCTAATTTTTATTTTTAAATAACAATTCAATTCACTTGAAAAGGTTTGCTGGAAGAAATCTCTTATTAGAGATAAGTTCGCCTTTGTACAACTCGCCTCTTGACAGTATGTTTGTGTACAATAAAGAATAAAGAAAGAATAAATACAGAGAGAAAAGTAGATGGTGAAAGTCAGACACAATAAATACTATATAATACTATAGAGGACTTTGTACAAAAGTCGTTAGGACATATCAATTATCAGGTCGTAAACGATATACAGGTTACAAAGGTATAACAGCATAGTCCTCAAGAATGGTACCCATGAGAGGTAGTGGGCATGGCAGTGCATTTTGAAATGTCTATGTATTTTTTTATGGATGAAGATAGAATGGTAACCCCGCCTGCGCTATCGGTATACGCTGGCGGGGTACCAGTGAAGGGTGAGGATGAAGTTAAGTCAGTTGGCCCATAGTGACCGATTAAACAAGAATTAACCACTATGTTTTCTTTTCTAGGGGGAACAGAGTGGAAGTCAATCTGATAGTTGCTAGCAATACACCTTGTATTGCTAGCAACAAGGCTGTTAAATCTCATTCTTAACAATCCCTTTCCCCCCAATGTCTACGTACTGTCTTTACTGTACCACTAAGAGAGTATCTTAAAAAAATAAGCATCCAGTTAATGCAAAGAAAATAAGCAATATAGAATAACGTCACTTTCAGAATATCTTCAGTTCTTTGACCTTTAATCACATGAATATACTAACGAAATGAAAACAGTGTTTTTTTTTTTTTTTTATTTGCAACAACAATTATAAATTAATTAAAATAATAAAAATGTACACTGACTTGGATATTTGCTGTCAATGAGTTGCATAATCTGAACGTAAGGTTGAGGATCAAGCCTATCGTCCCGAATGGGTTTTTCCTCAATGAATATTGGTTTGTAATGTAACTCTATTGGATACAGACGACCTGGAATCTGTAACAATAAGTAGGTACAATTTGTTTTATTAATTGATGATCCTTATAGATACAAACATTTTTAACATCACCAGAGACCTTATATAAAAGTAATATAACTGGGTACCTCTCAACAAACCAATGTCCAACAGTACAGAAGTACCCAGTAGTAACATGAATGTATGTTTCTGCCATCAAGCAGTTGTGTTTGCATGGCTGTGTTTCGATTTGAAGAGTGGAATATGGTATTTAAATTACAGGACACAGAGGCATAACGCTTTAATCCTCAGAAATAACAACACATATAGGAAGGATATAGACGACAGTTATCACTTTCCATCAGATGGGTCGTCAGCGATAAATTTTAATTCTACAGGATATTCTATAAAAGCCATATGACATCATAAATAGAGACATATACATACATCCTATCTCTTTCCCCATAAGGTAGGCATATTTTATCCATAAAAGTAACAATAAAGGTAAAGTACCTTAACAATGAAGAGTTATTTATAAAGATACCTACTACAATTTGTAGGGGAAGGGTATTGTTTTTATTTTCAACGAATGAAAATAGAAACCCCACCTGCGCTATTGGTGTAAGCTAGCGAACAATAACAGGTGAAGATGAAAACATGTCAATTGCGCCATCATAACTATGATAATTCTTCGTTATACCATTTCATTCATTAGTTGTGGTATCCCACTCATGGGAAAGGCCTCCTGTTACTGATTATAATTTTAAAAAAAGGCAAACAAATTACGAGATTCATGAAGAAATAGAATTACACTTACTTGAATAACTATAGCAGATTCTGCTGAGAAATAATCTTCAAATAATTTTATATTAATAGTAGCCGACATGAGTACTAATTTGATGTCAGTCCGACTGTGTATTAAACATTTGAGCACACCTAATAAAAAATCGCCCATTAAATGCCTCTCGTGAATTTCATCCAGAATAATGACATCATAATTTGGTAGATTTTCTGAGGACATCTGAAAATTAAAATATATATACTATGTATTTATTTAGATTAACCAAGTTACCGTGTGTGTTTTTTTTTAATGGATGATAATGGAATTGTTACCTCATCCGTGCTATAGGTATACACCAGCGGGGCACTAATCCAGGATGATAGGTGAGGATGAAGTAGGTCAGTTAGCCCATCATGGCGAATTCAACAAGAATTGTTACGATGTATTATACTTCTATAATACATCGTCGTATCAATAAACGTAGGTCTTCACCTATGAACTTTTAAAACTTCTAGAAAATTATTTATTTTGCAACTTAGGTGACAAAGTAACCGAATGTGTTAGCTATGTCCCAATGTTAGGGATTCGGTCCTGTAATATAGTAAACAAAATGTGTGATCGCTAAATTCTTAGCATTTTTTAAAGCGACATCTTTTGAAAGGTTCTATTTTGAAAATGAACATTTTCATCAAAGCAACATGGGTTAATAATAACAACAAAAAATTTTGAGTCTCCAATAATGATGTAATGTTTGCAGCTGTTGAGTTAGTGCCCATAACTACCTCGATCCCTAGATCCCAAAATTTTATGTAGTTTTTAACCAACTTTAAAAAGAAGGAGGTTCTGAATTTGGTTGTATTTTTTTATTTGTTACCTCATAATAGTTCTAAAGCGATTTGGAAAATTCTTTTTTTTTATCTGAAAGGATATACTTATATATTGTCCCATAAGAATTTTATCAAAATCAACTTAGTATTTTAATTTTTGAATTAAAATTACTTGTTTTTGTCACATTTGATGTTGGTTTTTTTTATGTTGAACATAATCTTTAATTATCGAATTTTTCATTCACAAAATTCTTGTCCTAATATATTCTATAGTATGGATAGATTCTTAATTTTGCATACTGCTAACGATTCTGAATTCACTCCATTCAATTAAAAAACATTATGTTTTTTCTAAATTAATATTACCTGTCTCAGTAACAATCCTTCTGTAATGAAACATATATTTGTGTCTGCAGTGCGGCTCTTCTCAAACCGAATTTGATATCCAACCTTGGTTTCAAACTGTGATAACATTTCATAAGCCACTCTTTTTGATAAAGAAACGCAAGCTATCCTTCTGGGTTGTGTGCAAGCTGTAATAAAATGTAACTGACATTTACTACTTCAGCCTAATATTAGAAATTATGAACATATGAGAGAACCTTAAAGGTTTTAAGTAGAATTATTAATCCGGCCCGGCTTCACATGGTTAGACAGAATTTTCGAAAATATTATATAGCATTTGTTACTGACTGATAATGTAGCTTTTTATAAGCGAATGAATTTCTAAAATTTACTTCAATGATGAATGAATTAATGATTTTATAATTTACTTTTTATAATATTAATTCTTTATAATATAATATAACAGACACAATATTTGCAGTATAATTGTTTATATATAAAAATATAAGGTAAAATAGAAGAATTTAAGAGGAAAGAACTGAAATAACATAGATGAGAGATTTTTACATAATTTAAATTCTACAATTTAATTCCCACACATATTAAACTCCATTATTTTAGTTGAGTTTCATTGATACATTTTCTTTAATTTGATTATATCTGATCTTCTTGTCAAATACCTTATAACCACTAGAAGACACTAGTCTAGAAGAATTATTGTGAAAAATGTCAATTCGTAAAGTAGACTGGTACACAAAGCATTTAAGATTATTTTTTTAGAAGGCCTGGGCCCTTAAAAGGGACATATATACTCTTTGACATGTCTTCAGAACGCTTCTTTTACATTTACATACTCACCCAGCCCTCTCCCATTAAATATGTCCATTAATATGTACCAGTAAGTATCTACTAAAAAGTCCTAAAATCAATATCAATATTAGGCTTACCAATATTCTGAAAGCCAGCCTCATTCAGATATTGTGGAACTTGTGTTGACTTTCCACAGCCCGTATCACCAGCCACTATCACAACTCTCTCATTTTGTACTGCGGAGACTATTTCATTTCTAAAAATAAAAAAAAATACATACCAATTCAATACAATAGAAGAAAAAGAGAACAAATTTTATGCTTTAAATTTAAGGTATAGTTGATGTAATAGATCATTTATTAATAAAAATAAAAGAATACCTATTTATTACCTACTTTTTTTCATGATTACCTTTTTCACAGATTTATTCCTGCGAGTCTAACTTAAAAAGTAGTACATGTTTTATCATGATACACCATCTAAAAGAGGGCCATTTTATTGGTTTTTCTATTTCAGAAATCCATACATACAAAATAACAGCCAAAAATTAGTTACATATATTTTTAATGATAATTCTTACCTATAACCTGCCACGGGTAAATCCTTTTGTGCCTGTCTCAGTTTCTTAAGTTTTTCAAATTTCTCTTTATTCTTAAAATCTATATAAATAGAAACGATATTTAAAAATACTTCAAATAATTGCTTATCTAATTTTCTTCTCTCATAGTCATCAGAAACTATATCCACATATTTAATTGTGGTAATAAAATTAATATAATGCAATTTTGAAAATTGTATTGGCACACCCACATCATTTAATTCATTTGCTTTTATTTCAGTTTCTAATATTGGTTTACCAGCTTTCTTCAAAGTGGCTTCATATTTCTTTATAAATACCCAAAAATCATCAAGGTTGTTAACAACAGTATTACTGTCATTGCTATACAAAATTATTTTATTCAAATCTCTTTTGTAATTGGTGAAACTAAAATCTACGGGTTCAAGTGCCGAATGTGATGTGCTAGGTCTAGATTTTAGATATTTTCTAGAATTGTATTTGTCTTCATACGAAGGAGAGCGTTTCCGTTTGTAAGAACTATTCCTTGTTGGACTAGAATCTTTCCCCATATTTAATATTTCTAATTATTTTAAATATTAATTTAGATAATTTGCCGACATCTTTAGAGAGTGTACTGTCATTCAATCACTAGTACTAGAAATAATAAAGATATAAAACTTTATTATAATAAAAATGTTTTTAATTTTGATAGTCACTAAACAATCATTTAATTTAAATCAGCTGTTGTTTACTTTTTATCCAGCCAGAGGGAGGACTATTATCACTTCAAATAAAGAAATATATAGTTATATGCAACCAGTTCATTTTATTTAAAAAATTCATAAAAAAAAAACAGATAAGTTTCTTATGATATCTATTAATATCGATACTTAAAACAGATATAATTAGCTTATGAAAAACTATAACTCTGTGAAAATATATTCAATTTAGTGTGTTAATAATTTTAAGTGGTTGCATATATCCAACTAGCATATATGCATTTTCCAGTTACGTCAATATAAGAGTAGTGCCAGCTCTTAAATAACTTCTTCGCTCTCATCTCTCCTATCATATCTAATATATGTTTTTTTTTTAATGGTAACAATAATAAAATGTCTAAGGTGCGATTTTTTTATAGTAATAACTATATATTTTAATTACAGTATCTTTATATATATGCGACCAATATGAGCGAAACCGAAATCGGTAATAACCTTTTTCATCATAAATCTCCAAAAGAAGTCAATATATAGATATTGGAACTGTATCGATATTCCACGCCTCAGTGACTCCACCTGCGATAAATGCTTATTAATATCGTTTTTTTTTTTTTTAATATTGAATTGTACTGTTTATTTAACACGAATATCAGATATTAAAACTATATATAACTGTATTTTGTAACGCCTAAAAAAGTGCTAGATTAGACACCAAACAATTTTGGGGCGGGTACGGCTTCCCCTGTCGTGTAGTCCCTGCATAGAATGGGTTACATTTTTTCCCCCGTGGGTGTAATAAAAGGCGATTAAGAGAACTTAGCGGTCGAGGGATGGGCCACAGCGTCCCTACCCCTAAAACATTACCAAAGCCTAACTACGATTGCCAGTCCTGCCGCCAAGTGTGGCAACTATTGACAAGGGGGAAGTCCATGTTCAGCAAAGGACAGTTAACGGTTGATATATAGATGACAGTTTATGCAGCTCCTCTCCAATATACGTTTTATTTTATTTTATTTTAAATTGTTTAATGTTATTTATAGTATACGCTGATTGCTATTAATAGCTCAAAAAAAAAAATGTTTAGAACTCTATTTATTCTAGATTAGAAAATTAATACATGCCGTAATAAAGAGAAAGAACTGGTCATATATATTTCTTTAACTAGACCGTTTGCTCAGATGATGCATTCTTACAATCAAATATTCAAATACATACATCATAGCTTCGTACTTATTCACATGCTCATAATTCATTTAAATAAAATCTATTAGATATTAATAACGTTGATATTCGGCATTATTCACTTGCTATCATGATCTTATCGCTGTCTAGTATAGTATTATATTATCTGTGTCGCTGTCTAGTATAGTATTATATTATCTGTGTCGCTGTAGATATGAGTACTATGTGCACAACAGCGTATACCTACTCTGTCATCCATAATATCTATAATTCATGCGTGGCCTTTCCTGAAGACTTAAGTGCCTCTGAACTTTATAATTTTATTCCCATATTTAAACCGTGTATTTCGGTTGCCATGCAAATGACTTTTGTACAAATTTACTCTCTTGTTAAAAAAAAATACAAATCATGGAATTATAACAGATCAGTCGTTAAGAATGGGAATGTACATATATACACTGATTGTAGCATAAACAGTTACTTTGATTTAAAAATAAATTACTGAAACGATTTCAATAAAATTTCTAGGGGACTGTACATCCATCCAGATAAAAAAATAAATTTTCTGATTGTTTTATAAATAACGGAGTTTCATTCTCCTTGATTAAAAGTCTTTTAAAATACACTATTATTGATACCATATATTATATAAAATTTATAAAGATATTTGGTTTCTAAATATGTTAATTTTATAACATGATTGTTACATAATATGTACAATTTATAATTATGTACTGAAGTTAAATGAATAAATAAATTATGGTTAATTTCTAATTATTAACTAAAATTGAATGTTTTAAGTTTAAATTTACTTACGACACTACAATAAGTAATATATATTTTTGTAACAATACATCTGCATGGTGCAACACTGTTCCATGCCCACACTTCTTACATCACTGTACATTTCATACACATAAATGTAATTAGGAATTACTTAAGATAATTCCTCTTTCGTCTCGTTTCTGTGATTGTATTTTCAATTTGTTCTGTGGTTATTACATATGTTTGTGGTACGAAAGTACGTTATATTAAGCGCAATGTACTTATATACTACATAAAGGATTAATTTAAGAAATTATACATTCTCAAGTACTATCCTTAATCTATGCCAAGAGCAATCTTTATCCTTTAATGTAAAGGAAATACTTTCGGTGAAAACCACAGATTATAGAGATTATGTCTAAAGAATTAAATTAAAAGTCTAAGCTAAGAATAGTGAATAATAGGTCTAGATAGGTTCTAGGCTTCTAGGTTACAGAATATATTGTGATCTAGATATATATATATTTATATAATGAACTATAATTGATTAATATATATATAATTATATGTGTGTGTGTGTGTGTGTGCATATCTATGTCCAAAGATAGTACTAGGGTAGAATAGATAGGGTTTTTCTGTGGTTTCTATCTTTGGTTCTGCGAAGCTATTTCTATCTAGCCTAGCGCCCTCTTTCGTCAAATGAATACATTTCAAATAATAATTTCAGCCATTGCGTTCCGCCATTTTGCTTGGTCGTGGAGTGAACGTAAAATTATTCCTATGTATTTTATCGCGAGTATTAATTATTTAGTTTAGAATTAGTGTTTCGCCACACTAATGGCTTGCTTAAATACACTTAAGTTAGAAATCAAAACTTTAGAACAAGTGTTTCCAAAAAGCCATGAACGTTTTCAGATAATGTCTGCTAGTGTCGACGAACTGACCTGCAGATTCGTTGGCAAAAATGGAAAGAAATATGAAATACATGCGAATATTACTGTAAGTACTTACCCTTTATTACTTATTATGTTTAAGTTGAAAGGTGAGAATAGAAGGAAGTTTATTGATTATCTTTAGGTGGGACAAAGGGTCGTTGTTTATGAGGGCAGGGCTGTCAACAAGGTTTACGGAAGTGTATCGAACTTCTGTGTTTTAAGGCAACTTTATTATTTATTTTATTCATTAGTATGTCATAAATAAATCAGTAAACATATCTTGTTAAATATATATAGTACAGTTTGTTAGTATTTGTAATTATGATATGAAACCATCTGTTAACAGTAATTGGGCCTGCCATACGGGTTTGCGATAAAATAAATCGATCATTTTACGTTCAACATTCATGAATTTAAGTTAATTTCTATGTTTCATCAACACTTCGGCATGATGCTATATCTGTTTTGTTTGAGTAACGGTAATCGGTCGCGTTTTTGGGACAAAGAGTTAGTCATCCTTTCTACCTGCTTTTTATCATGTAGACATTATGTTGGACCCATTTTATGCTTTTTATTTGTTCAAGTGACAATAGTAAGTTTTAAACTTTCCAATTTATCGATATATATTTGTATAATAAAGTCGCGTCACTTTTTTAAAGAATGTCGTCATTATGAGTTTATTACTTCTGTATATTAAATGTAAATAATCTTTAATATATGCCATTGATTTTATCCTGTAATTTATTTAATATTGATTTATTTCTTGCAATGGAATTTATTATCTATTAGAAATAGAACTTAATATTGTTATATTGTTTATCATTTCTGTGTTTCAATTACATATATAAACATAAGACACTTATTTGATTTAAGAATCTGTTTACAATTAAGATTTTGATTGCTGTACATATTTAGCTATGATAATATTCTAGATATGCACTGTAAATACTATCTTCCTCCAGTTATAATTCCTTTTATTATTCTATATATATTATTGCTCATAATATTGTACCACCAGTTATATCTATAGTTGGTTGGAGTAGATAATGCCATATATTGTTGCCTTTGCACTGTTATTATCTAGGTTTATTAAACTTCAATAAATAAATATAGCTGTATGTACATTTAGTAGTTATATGTTTTCTACTATTACAACTTTTTTATACTATGTATGTGGAAATTAATAATAATAATGTAAAATTAAATGTAATCCCTCAGTGGTGTAACTACTATCTGAGGCTTGTAATTAATCAGATGGGTTCCTATCTTTATCAAAGAATGTTTGATATTGTAGTTTTATTTTAATATATCACTATGTAGGTATATATGCTAATTAACACTATTAAAATTATTTTGTGTATTTATGGTTAATTATGATAGACTTAGTCATTTTTTTATTCTAGGAATTAGATTTAGTATTATGATGGACATTTTCACTTTTCAGCCAGATTCAATTGTGCTGGTTGAATATATTTATTTATACTTTATTTACACAAAAATTACATTATTACAACAATAATTAAATACAATAATTACATATAACCCTGTATAGCACTTAATTTTTTCTTTGTATTTTTCAATATTTGCATTTAAATTTTAATAAATATTATATTAACTGTTAGTCACTTTATGTTTAATTCTATTAATATTTCAATTGTGATAATTAGTAGTAAATAATTAAATGTGAAAATGTATAATGATGGACAGAAGTTTGCATTAATTCATACAAAAACTACTGAACGGATTTCAATGACATTTGGTACACATATAACTTATATCCTGATTTACAACATAAGATATATATTATTTCAATTAGATAAAATCATTGGATACAACTAGTTAAGAATATTGTTAAAAAGAGAAAAAATAATAGTTAAAATAACTCTTTTACTTTATGGCTATAAAATTAGTTCTTTAGTTACAATCTTTTTTGGTAAAAATAAGAGATAAAAAAACAAATACACATTTTTGCTTCAACACAGAAATATCTGAGGTTCTCTTCACTGCAAACAATTTGAATAAAACCACAAGACAAAGCTTGCATAGTAGTTTTTGTATCATATAAAATTATCAATGCACACTGCACAGGTCATGTGGAGGCTCAAGTTATTTACCATATTTATAAGTTTGTAAGTACAATTGAATATGGTTTGTGTCCTGTTAATATATTATTATACCAGGGAAGTCAACATGTCAACCTGTTCACAGTTGCAATGCCTGACACTTATATCTTTGGGTAAAACTGTCAGATACAGTCACTACAGAATTGACAAACTTTATCCAAAACAAATGTCATTCATAGTATAAAAAAATGTTGATTTCCACATTCTTGTGCTTAAATTAATTGGAATTATTTGTATTCAATCGCAGGAGACATACCCTAATACACCACCAGTGTGGTTCGCTGACAGCGAGGATCCCATTGTGACAAATGCTGTCCAGATCCTCAGTAATACACAAGGAAGAGATAATCATGTTATAAATCAGGTAAATGTTTCGATTGTTATCATTACAGACTATCTAGGCAATTTTCAATATCAGATAAATGAACAAAAGTATTGTACTAATTCAAATGGAAATTTGCTATCTTATAAATAGGAAATTGTTGTACTGAATAAATATTATTACTTTAGCATGTTATATTTTAATTCAGTTGGCATAATTATTTATTGAATATCACAATCAATTAAATTGAAATGAAAACTGACTTTGTGACATGAACATTATGATTTACTGTTTTTAGGTTGGTATATTATTGAGAGAATTATGCAAGTTACATGGTGTACCAGAACCACCAGATTTGGATTCCTTATCACTGCCCGTCCATCCTGCTCCACAGCAAAGGTAAGACCAAATCTTTTTTAGGAGTTTTTTTTTTCAGTTAAAGATATTCTTAAATCATGAAAAAGAATAGTGCAAATTAGGTCCTGTTATAGTGTAGAATACATATCAATTGTTAACCATGAATATCTCGTAACACAGACAAAATTTTATAAGATAGATATGTAAAAAACATTCCGTGCAACTGGTTTTACTATCTATGTACCGTAGAAAAGGAGATTACGTTTAAATTTCTTTTAATATATGAATTACATTTAAGTTATTATTGGTTAATCATATGGATATTCATATTAGTATTAGTTCATTCATGTATTAAATCTCATTAAATTGATGCTGGGATGATCTTGTATATTTGTAAAAATCTTCCTAATTAGAACATCTGGTGTGTTATGGATTGAATTATCACAAATTAATTGCAACTTCGCCGAATGTTTCTAGGCAGAGCTAATATAACAGCTTTTATAAATTGCCTGTGGGAGAATTTTTGCTTGGAGATGAACTAATCTGTGTCAATGTTAGGAATTTATTACTGTGACCTTTACAATTTTTTATTTAGCTTATGTCAAAGGATACTTATATTAGCTGTACCCCACTTCACCCTTACAAATCAGTGTATAAAATATACTGATTATGTTAAGTTTGTATTTTAACATTTGTGTACAAAATTTCATTCAATTTCATTACGAAACAAATTTTGAAATCAGTTTTTGCATGAAAGGGTAATAATCATCCACCACATTTATTAATATTAAGAGGGATACACATAATTATCTCAAGATGTCCCCAAAAAATTTATCTTAGCAGTTGATATAAATTTATATCTGTGAAGATGTTATATTAGTATAATTGATGTATTTGTTTAATTTGAACTAAGATATGTTTTTTTTTGTAATGCCATAATTTCAAAAAATGTTTAACTGATTTTAAAAATTCTATTTTAAAAAAATACATGAAAAGTTCTACTGTCAGTAGTAACATGGGCTGTATTTTATTTAAAAAAAAAACCGCGTGTAATTACGATGGTTTGCTGGTTTATTATAGTTATAGGCACAAGAGATGTGTTCGATCGGCAACTATTTATTCTTAATTTAAATTTGCACTCCGATTAAAAGATTTAATAATTCTCAAATTTATATTTTATAGAATTCCAAGCGTGACATCAAATGGTGCAGAATCGGGGACTGAAGAAGACGAGGAGATGGCGGCGGAAGAAGATGAATCTGAAGGAGAGGATGACTTACCACTCGAGATGGTAGATGACGCTGGGCGCAGCAATAAGGTTAGTGGAATATTATAAATAATTTTAGTAACATGATATAATAAAGTGTGGATTATAATAGAGATTCCCCTAAATACGCTTATTGATGTGTATCACTTTTAAATTGTCACACTTTGACTGTTTTTAATTCTTGATAAGCAATAACAAACAAAATGCTTGATTTATTTTAAATACACTATCCCAACTTATATGATAAAACATCAGCAATAAAAAATCAGGTACTATTTACCTGAAAATTTTGAATGCCTTAAGTATCAATAGTGTATTTAAAACTAATAACTTTGTCTTAACAATGCGAATTAAAATTAACTAAAATGTCTGATTTCGTTTAAAGTTTATGATTACAATTAATAACTGATTTAATTATGATTTTTTAATGTAAAAAGTTCTATGAGGGAGGCCTATATCCAGCAGTGGACGGATAATGGCTGAAATGATGATGAATGTCAAAAATAAAGTTACTTTTTTAAAACAAAAGAGTAGTCAGAAAATATGCTGAAAGTTTATTCGATGAAGAGTTTCACGTAGATTTGATGATTTACATGATAATGATCCCCCAAATAATTATGTATTATTCTTAGATATTGATCTACCTATATATATAGTGTAGTATCTTTCACATGTTACAGTCATTTAATTACGGAATACATTAGTTTATTATTTTATAAATGAAACAACAGTTCATCATTATTGTAACTGGCAGGATTTGAATTGATATTGTGATACCATAATCACAATATTGAATTCTACTCATATCCAACAATCCCATGTTGGAATTAAAAATGATTCTTATTTGGAAGCGTAAATTTATAATTTGTTATTTTAGCCTAAATATCTTGTTTAGCCTAAATATGTAGTTTAAAGCTAGCCAAAAAGTTCTTGATTTAAAAAAGTGATCATCACTTCAGGATGATATGGAGACAGAACACTTAGCGACGTTAGAACGACTGAGACAAAATCAACGACAGGACTACTTGTCAGGCAGTGTGTCTGGCAGTCTCCAAGCGACGGACAGACTCATGAAGGAGCTAAGAGACATATATCGCTCCCACTCTTTCAAGAATAATATGTACTCGATTGGTGTGTTTTATTATTATTATTTTTATTATATATTTTATTATTAAAGGTTAATTGGTAGAGGATGCTACTAGCATTAAGTCCACCTTAGTAGGTCATTAAAGTTATTTAAAAAAATAAATGATAAAATTAATAATATCCTGATATTTATGGGATTCGAACTCGCATTTCTAGTCCATGAATAAAATACATGAGATGAAATTTAACAAATTAAGTTAGGTATAATCCATGAGTTCACCCGCGCGTGACCTATTATTATCTCTTCTCCTAAGAATTTCTAAATTCTTAGAAAATTTCATAATTCTTGATTCAGTTGTTTCATGATCTGTGCTTTATTGTCAGTCATTTCATCCTTTTCGATTCGATTTAATAACTTGAAGTATTTGAATTTAGAAGGTGGAATTGTACATCTACAATTCCATAGATTTTGCTTTGTAACAAGCAAAGCCTTTTGCATCGCAAAGAAAAACGGTAACTTTAATCGTCGCAAAATTAATATAGGATTCTCAATATTGGTTCAGAATTGTCTAAGTATTGGCGTAACAAATAAAAATATATACAAATTGAAATCCGAGGATGACTCTGTTAAAAACTGCTTATAAAATTGATAATTTATCTACTGAAACCTCAACAATTAGAATAATAAAAAAAATATTAATCTTTTTTTTACAGAATTAGTGAATGATTCACTCTATGAGTGGAATATCAGACTGCGCTCAGTGGATCCGGACAGTCCTTTACACAACGATCTGCTATTGCTCAAAGAGAAAGAGGGCAAAGACTCAATACTGCTGAACATTATGTTCAAAGAGACATACCCGTTCGAGCCACCATTTGTACGAGTTGTCTATCCAATTATATCAGGTCAGTTCTCTTGAATTTATATGATAGTTGATTCATATAAGGATGAATATCACATACGAAGTAGTGGATAAAAAACTAATGAACTAATCATTATTAGTGTGTGTACCTACACACACACACACACTAATGGTCCGAGAATATACAATACATATTTACAAAATTGTGACATGGACTTTTTATATTCTTAATTTAATTGTATTCCTTTTTATTAACTCCGTTAATTATAAAATAGTTTGGAAGATTTTTTTTTATTTGGAATAATACTTACAGATTTGTACCGTAAAATCAGTTTAGTTGTTTAGTTTTTAAATCAAAATAACTGGTTTGGCCACAATTGAAGTCGGTTTTTTTTGTGAAATACAATTTTAAATTATTCATAAATATGTGTATATTTGTGTTAGTTTAGTTGTTGGTATAATAATTATAATTTAAAGTGAGTAAGTGACAAAAATCAATAATTTTGTATATATCGTCATAGTCGTAGAATACTGACGGATCTATATATGTAATATTTGTCAGATCCGTCAGTATACTATGACTATGACGATATATTCAATAATAGCAAATTGTTCTGATAATACTTTTTCGATCATAATATTTTGTTGAACGACATTTAGTAATTTTCATACGAATGAATGAGTCTATTTTATTTGTATTATGCAATATAGGGAATAAGCAAGACAATTAATAATTGTAACGATACAATTGTATAAGTACAGTAAGGCAGTCTTATTGCTGAAAGCAATCTTTTCAATCCAACTTTACAGTAATATACTAGTTGTTGTACAAGTAGTTATGATAATATTGTATAATTAAGCTACCGAACATAAAAACATGTCTATATCATAGTAACAGTTACTCATCATGTACAAGAATTTACAATAAATTACCATATTCGCTTACTGATCTTTTTTTGAAAAGGTTTAAAGTCATTTTATGGAGTCATTCAGAGGGAGACTTTGTACAAAAGTCGATTGCTTGGGTACCTCTGTCCCATTCGTGTGTCAACCGTGAAGCAGTTGTGTTTGCATGGCTGTGTTTCGGTTTGAAGGGTGGGATATGGCGAGAATTTACTGGGTACAGAGGAATAGCACCTGAGTCCTCAGGAATGGCAATGCATGGGGGGTGTCATGGGCGAAACAGTATACTCTGTTATGTCCATGTTACTGCTCATGTCTATAGACGACGGTTACCATTTTGCATCAGGTAAGCCGTCAGCTTGTTTGCTATTCTGAGTTGTATAAAAAAAAATGTAAATGATTAATTACAAAATTTTTTATACACTGAAAGATTATTTTGCAAGTAAAATGGATGGACATTATATAATTGAATCTAGAATGTAGAATATTGTATGCAATACATATTTGTAAAATGTATGACTAATGTAACTGAGTGAAAAATAATGAAATGTATGTATAAATTTACAATAATAACTTGAATTTGTGTGGCTTTAGTAATATAACTTGTAATTAATAGTTAATAATACAATACATATAAAACTGTTGCATGCCAAGTTGGCTGAATGTTAAGGTTACGCAAAATGTATAGGTAATATACCTAAACTTACCACATTCATCGCAATAAATTTCATTTAATTTCATTATTGTATAATTAAAAAAGTAAAACATATGATTTCGTAATAATGGACATTGATTTTGATAACGGTCCATTTAAGTTCTGTTGCTTATTTTCAACCTTTTTAGCTGACAGCGTTGTAGAAATCTCAATGTACTGAATTTTTGACAGTTGCAATATTACTATATCAATTGTATATTTGTCCCCCTATTTGGGGGGTTTTGCCAATAATTGTTACGCTTGTCAGGCGAGTTGGCAACCGCAATTAGATCTTGGTAATGTTTTAAGAGTGATACTGCTGCTCATCCCTTGTCCATTAAGTTCCCTTAGTTATCTCTTATAACACTCAGGGTAAAGGAAGGGGTGGCCTATTCTATGCACACGTCTTGCATTATTATTATTATAATATAAATCGTGGCATGAATAATGCTTCTAACTATTCTATTAGGTCTTATGTACATTTATTTTTTATACTATATGTATATGTTATCTATTGCAGGAGGCTACGTATTGGTGGGCGGCGCGATATGCATGGAACTGCTTACGAAGCAAGGTTGGTCATCGGCATACACAGTTGAGGCAGTGATTATGCAAATTGCAGCCACCCTTGTGAAGGGCAAGGCTCGTATCCAGTTCGGTGCGACGAAGGTCGTGTCGCAGTCTCAGTACAGTTTGGCGCGCGCACAACAGAGCTTCAAGTGCCTCGTGCAGATACATGAGAAAAATGGTAAGTGCCACATATTATTTATTTCACCACAGAGTAATGGTTTCCTGCCAGTTGTTCAATGGATGCGTCTGGACTGCAATGTGTTCTCTAACAGACATGTCTAATAGCTGTCTGATAAAAGGCTTTGACCTATTGGTTAGCTATAACACTGTAACTTTACCTTGTAGTGGCCAAGGTTGTTTTAGACTAGGGACAGTTCTCATACATATGTTTTAATTTAAAACACAATATTTTCAATATTCATATTAATTCATATTAATATTCATAGAGATTCATTAACAAATGTATGTGAATGTGTTTAGAGATTCATGACATTACAGATATGAGGGACTAAAACTAGTTTTATATATGACAATAAATAAATAAATGACATTCTGTGTATGCACTTTCATAACTATTGGTTGAGACTTTAAAATACTAAGAGGTAATAAAAAAAAAGTTTTCACACTTTAGTGCAGTATAAGTAATTAATCTCTCTTTGATGAATTAAAACGGAACTCAAATATGATATCACTAAATAACATCTCAAGTACTAAAAACTTATATGGCATTTTTTATTGATTGAAAAATATTTGATTAAAGTGTTTAAACATGTAACAATATTTTACAATGAAATTTTAATAATATTTTCTATGATATATTTTTGTTGTTAGGTTATTGGGCTCCCTAAATATGGTTGAACGCAAAGGTGGCTGGTACGTTCGTCATACTCGTGAACGGATACTACTTGTGGGCATTGGCCTACTAGAGTTATCTGCGACTTTGAGTCATCATGATATTTTTTTTTATTTTTGTTATAAGAATTCAAACTTTTTGTCGGTAAGCAAGATGAGTTTCTTGTCCTTTACTCTCTACTACTGATGTTTGAAGAGTATGGGAAAGAGAAGCTATTGCATCCGTTTATAAATAAAAAAAAAAAAAACAGTCTTGTTTGACATAACACATCTAAAAAAACTTGTCGGAGTTTATAACCTGTATATGATATAATAAAAATATAATGTATCTCCACTCCTTTCCAGTCTTACAGCTGTATTTATATAAGTTAATATAAAATTATTCTGTGTTAATTTAAGATTGGTGCGACTCTACTAAATATCATTCAAATCTAGCTGTTTTCTTTGAGTTACATTTTTTTTGTTTATAAAACCTACAAACTTATTTATCTGCTACTAATCTATTCAAGTGTAATGTATTGATGATAATTTTATATATAAGACAATAATTATAAAATATTTAAATTTTAATCTGTAAAGCATATAATTTTGTAAGTTTTCTTTGTAATATGTGTGTATTGGATCTTGGATCAGATTCAGAATTTGTTCAAAATCGCACCAAATATTTCTCTTTCTAACTTGTTTCTATATTTTTCTCTTTTACATTGAACATTGTAGTGACAATTTGGACACTATTATAAATGTGATTGCGACATATGTGTCTGTCTATTCCAGGTTGGTTCACACCTCCCAAAGAGGACGGCTAATGCAGGCCCCACCGTCGCCGTTACATATAAGACTAACGTGCAAATCGCCCGAGCACCCACTAAATCCAACAAGTGACAACCAGATCGTAATTATTCCAACAGAATCGTATGCCGATTGTTTACTTGTTATGTATGACTGAGAGACTGCGTCGAACTATGTGTACTGTAATTGTTAAGTGCTATGTTGATACATGTGGGGGCGTTGAGAGACTTTATAAGACTTATAGGAAATGTTTAAATGTGTAACGTTTTTTGTAATCATTAATTTCTCATTGAAAGTTATCCATATGGTAGCCAGCCTAGACGTTACTGGAGTGTAAAGTTGGAAAATTCTTTGCATTTCTTTTTAGTTATTGAAATAAAAGAAAAACCTGTGATTCTTATTAAATGTCTTTATCATTTACCAATTCTCGATCGCTTCACATTATATTTGAATTGACATTATAATTAATTAAAAGAATATAAAAAATATACAGATTGAAATTGAAATCATAAGCATCATTTTAAGAGTGTTCTACCATTTTCCCCAAACATATTTTCTAAAAAAAAAAACCATAGGTCTGAAAACGATAAAACATATAGAATTTCCCGTATTATACTCATTGTACTAGTATGGGAATTTAAAATCATTTTTATGTCGTATTCGTGTATTTTTTTGGAAAAAATATAATACAGTTTCATTGATAGCACTTCTAAAAATAAGATATCTAACATTCTACTATTCTGGACGTAACACATGTTGGTTATTTCCGAAGATGTAGTATGTTAGTTAAATACAATAGTATTAAAATTAATTTTGATTAAATGAGCAAATATATGAAATTCTTATTATTTAATCAGTTTTTATAGAAATAAAAAAATTGAAATCTGATATCATAAAATTGTAAATAGACGATGTTTTTACATAGGAAATATTTAAGAAAAATTGATATGAGGGGTCCTAATAAAAGCAATAGAAACCAAAACGATATTTTTAAGAAATGTTCTCTGTCTGTTTGTTGCGGTATCACGCAAAAACTACTGCACTAAAATGGATACTGTTTTAATAGTAATATTCTTGAAGGTTAAAATTAATTAATTAGCTTAAAGTTGGGTATATGTTTTATCTTCATACGCCGTCTAGAATTGATTAATCTATTCAATAATTTCCCTATTTCTGAAATCTACGCGTATGAAGTAGCGGGCAAAAAGCTGGTGAAAATTACTAACTTTTATAATTATATTAGTTGCACACCCCGGCTTTACACCGATGTACTTTTTCCGTACGATTTGCAAACCTTTCTTTTCCTACAAACCTTGTCCTAACAATTATGAATACAACAAAAAAAAAAAAAAATAGCCAATTAGGTGCAACTATACTAACGTGATATGTTTACATACATTCGGCAAGTGACTTATATTTATATAGACACAATATATGTAAACAAGTGAGTATTTAAAGTTTAGATTTTTTATTTTCTCTGTTGAATTCCATTAACATAATGAGACCATCCACGTGAAGCTTGTAGCCAGGCACGTTGATTTTCTTAGCAAAATCCTTCTCGTTCATCGTCGTTAGCCATTGTTTTAATTTGGGAAACCTGTTATTAAAAAAAAAAAAACAGTACAGATTAGTTTCTCTAAACTCAAATATTTATACTAATATAATAAATTGGAAGAGATTCTGTTTGCTTGATCGTGTTAATCTCTAAAACTACCAGTCGGATCTGAAAAATTCTTTTTACATTTTATTCCATTTCTTGAAGGAGTTATAGGCTATTCAACATCACAATATGACCATAAGCGAAGCCGCGAAATATAGCCAGTAAAAAGGAATACAAGTATATAGTTAAAATGTTGCAGAGAGACGACAAAACAGCATAGATAATTTCGTCTTGTTATCTTTTACACCTAATAGTTTGCTTACATTCACGCTTTATTACATTGCACTTGGCCCGTATTAAATTAAAATGAGAGTGAATAGTAATATTTAAATCTGTTTTTGTTACCTTTCTACTGATTAGTTGCCGTACCTTTCCCTAGCGATCGACTCTATTCGTAATTTTATATTGTTCTTGGTTGTTTACGATTGGTTACTAAACAAGATTAGAGAAAAAATATAAGATGGCGCTGGAATCGAGACGTGTGGTTATTGTTGATTATTTTGTAATGAAAGATATTTTGAAGTAAAATTCCTAAATTGGTAAGTGGTTTTTATTATGCGTGTATATGAAGTAACAGATAATATGCGATCTTATCCTGAATGAATTATAACTCGCACAAATGTAATGTTTCTTGCGTTTATGTATAGTATGTGTTTTTTTACAAAGTTGTACAATACAAGAGAATACAAATATAAATTGTGATAAATTATTACTATATCGCTAAAAAATAAAACCACTGGGCAATTTATATATTTTATCTCAAATTATGTTTAATTACAAAATTGTAATAAAAAAATATAAGTCTCGATTCTAGCGCCATCTAGTATTTCGTGTCGAATTTTGTTTACTTATCAATCACCTTAATATTTATATATGTATATATGTAATGTAGTAAACAGTTAATTAATCGAAAAAAAAAAAAACAAATATACAAACATATTCTTTGTTGGATAAATCAGTCTGGTAGTCAAAAGGTTAATAAACGGACGAAACTTGAATATAGCTGTTCACGTATATCACGACTTGATCTCAAGTCGCCACTTACCAAACTTAATGCACTCGAGAAATAAGATACTGCTCTGGGAAATAACGACGCGAACTACTACTGACTTTTATGTTCTCAACTCTCAAGTGATACGAGAACCACTTGGCGGTTTATATATCAATTTCAGTATAGGGGCTATATGGGATCAATTTATTAATATGACACTTAAATTATTATTGTATTATTAAATATTGGCTATTATTCTCATCTTCGTGTACAGTATAGTATATTTTATATATGTGTAAGTTTATTTGTTATTAATATATGTTTATTTGTGTATGTATTTAAATTTTAGTATGTATGTATATCTATACTAGTACTATATTCGAGTATTCTTACACTTCCCTAAGGTTGACTGGGAGAGAATGCTTTTAGCAGCAAGGCCGTATTGTACACATATTTTGTAAAGAATAAATAAATAAATTATGATAAGTACTTGAAAAGGGTGAAGGAGAAACGAACATTAATAAAAACAATAGAGAATAGAAGAGGCAAAATGCTGGGCTATCTTATTCGACACGGCGATTTTTTTAAAGAAGAAAAAATAGAAGACAAAAGAGGAAGGGGAAGACCGAGGTATTACTACATAGTACAGATAAAAGAAACTAGGTGTCATGTCATATAGGAAGGTCAAGGATATGGCCTGGGTAGAGCTGGCTGGAAGATACATGAATTAGTTGCACCGGCAAGAGGAAACTCTTAAATAAAAAATAAAAAAAGTATTGTATGTATGTAGGTAGAAGGTGATATTGGATAGTGTCTCAAGGTCTTTATGTATCAACGGTCTGGAGTGTTCGAGTACTAGAGGCATTCCCTTGTGCAGTAAGTCGCAGTGTGAGTATGAACGTTTAGTGTTAATAGATTGTAGTGGGGGATTGTTAGTAATGGAGACTAAGAATCCCATTGCTAGCAATACACCCAACAAGGTCGACCTCTTCGCGGTTCCCCCTGGAAACTATCATGATTAATTCCAGATGAATTCATCATGATGGGCTAACCGGCGTGTTTTCTTCATCGATCATCCTTCACTGGTGCCCCGCCAGCATATCCCGTTAGCGCAGGCGTTACCATTCCATTTTCATCCAATAAAAAAAAAATAGATTGTAGTGACTACTGCTCGTACTATAAGGCGGGCACTATACTTCATTGTTACACTCACATAAAGGTAATTAGTAAATATTTTATGTGAAAAAAAAATTATGCATATTCTCACTCATACACATTGTCATATAAAAAATATGCTTCAGTGTTGTAAGTTAAAAAAAAAGGGCAATATAGGAGCAGAATATTTTCTATAAATGCAAAACATTAATGTCCACTATTTGGTACACATATTACTGACTGGTTACGAGTGCACAATTTCGTTGAATGCACTCCGTTTCTAGTATAACTTTCTAGTCATTATTATTTTTGTATAAGTTTTAACCAAACTCGGTATCAGCTAGTTTCGCTGTAACATATGGAGTTTTGATTTCGTTTGAAATTAACGGAGTGACTACATTTGAGAGACATCTATATCACTTCGAACCGACAGGATTTTTTTGTCGTTTCCTTACTTCTTTAAAAATAGTTGAAATTAAATGTTAAACTGGACCAATTTTGATATGAACAAAAACACGAAATGAAGCCCGAAAATTAGGAATTTCATTTCATGGTGGACCCCCTGGTCTCGGTTGGACATTGAATACATAGAAATAATGCTCACCTTTTTTCGTCTATTGGATGTAACCCGTTTAATGAGGAGACGGTCGTTAACACACTTATATCAGCAATGGTCATGTGCTCCGCCGCTATATATTTGTTTTCGTTCAGGTACATTTCTAACATTTCATATGCGTCCACTATGTTTATGATCATATATTTCGACAATTCCGTCAATCTGCCACCATATGTTGGAGCCTGAAAATTGCTTAGTGATTCAGAAAATTGGGCCTCTAAGAACCACAGTCCTTAATAATGGTATACACATGAGGTATATTATGGGTGTCAGGTCAGTATATTCTGTGACATGCATGGTGCTATTCATTTCTATAGGTGACGGTAATTACTTTACATTGCGTGAACCGTCAACTTGTTGCCATTCCAAGTTGAAAAAGACTATATTTCAGAAAATTTAGGGTCTCATTATGCTCATTTATTATTGGATAAATGTTATAAAATATATTCGTAATTTTTTTTTATGATACCTAAAATAGCAGGTGGGCCGTTAGCTTATGATGGCCCACCTGACGAAAAGCGGTAACTGTCGCTAATTCACATGAACAGCACCATGGACATTATGATACAGAATAGACTATTATGCCCGTGGTACCTCTTATGCGCTGCTATTCCTGAGGGTAGGCAGAAATAAAAGGATGCCAAATGCTTCAAATCAAACAAACTTGTTTTGCTTCCTTACAAAATCCACAATCAGTCTTTCAAAAAGGTTAAGCAAGTGTCCATAAATAGGTTGAACAGCCAAGGAGACGCTACACAGCCCTGTCTAACACCATGTTCACTGCCAAACCCGTTCGTATAGACTCCATTTATTCTGACACACGCATTCGAATCCCTATCAACCAACCAACCAACAAAAAATAAATCAACCGAATTGAGAATCCCTTCTTTTTGAAATCGGTTGAAAAATTGATTGAAAAGGAATAAGACCACTGTTTTTGGAAATACTATAATAATATTTAAATATTACTATTATAATTACCATAATTGCTCTAAGTCTAGGGAATAAGATTCCGCAATCAAAGAACATTCGATTGTGGATGGTTGCCCGTATCCTCGCGTCTGGTGGGTACAGCTGCTTGTGTTCAGGTCGTCCATATTTCTCCAATAGGTAGAGAACTATTGCATGGCTGCAAATATATAATGTCATGTTCTATTAATGTAATAAATGCGAAGTTTTGTAACGATGGTTGGATAGATGTTTGTTACACTTTCACGTAAAACTACTGAATAAATTTGAATGAAATTTGGTACACGGATAGGTTATATCCTACTTTAGTACATAGGATACTTTATGTATTGATTTACGCGGACGCAGTGTAATATAGTATAATATACGTAGACTTTTTTCGCGATCGAACAGATTTTTAATTTTTTTTGCAATTTTTTTCTAAAATTACGCTAAATAATCTACTATTAATTACGTTGGCAATTATTCAATTTAAATACATACAATTACTAAAGGGGATTATACAAAAATTGGGAACTGCTTTATTTGTGTTTCTGCCATGATATAGTTATTTTTGCATGGCTTTAAAAGGTGGGATATGGGATATGAAATTATAAGGTACGGCGATAATAAGGCTCCCATGAAGGACATAGGCGTTACTGTATAGATATTTCATGATGTTATTCTTATCTATAGGTGATGGACGGTCATCACTTTTCATCAGGTGGGCAGTCAGTTTATTTGACACTGTTACATTAAAAAATCCAGTTATGGTAGTATACACTCCGCACATTGCGGAATTGAAAATAAATTCAATCAGATAGTGGAGGAAAACGAGTTGTAGTTCTTTTGGTTTAACCGACTTCAAAAGGGGGAAGCTTCTAATTTTTTTGTGTATTGGCGGATAACGTGGCTATTATCCATATGTCAGTAGAGAGCATGTCTAGGTTAGTTTAAAATCTACGTTTTTGATTGTGAAAAGTAAGTACAGTGAAATTAATTTACCTATCGGCCAAACTAAAGTCACCCTCGTCCAATATAGGCACGGTTTTCATTGGGTTTTTCTGAAAATGAAATTAAACATTATATATATTTTTTAATAGATACTTAAAATCTAAATGTATACGTAATAAATATCTTTACTGAAACGGCGATGTCTTTCCGTTCATGGATCCTAATTTAATTAAAAAATACCTACATATCTACAAACTTATATATATAATATATTGGCATAAGAAAGAAAAATTAAATCCCGTTATGATGGTACCGATCCTGGCAATGGCGATAACGAGGAACTAGCAGGCAGATGGGCGCCGGGGTTTATTACAGCAGAAGGAACGGGTTGTTTGTTGGAAGTTGTTGTTTTTTTTCAAAAAGTTTAATTATAGAAATAATGAATTTGTGTAAATGCAAATGATTAAATAGTATCATAATTATATCAAATAATATATATATGTTAGATCATAATATAGCATCTACGACTGGTCTAAAGGTTGTCTTATTTGCATATAAATATTTAATTTTATAAATTCATCGTAATATAACATGGCAAGATTTTATCGTCACGATATAATAACGATATATTATACTATTATTTACTATTATATTGATTATATTACACGATATAATATAAAAAAACTAATTAATTCATAATGATGATGTGTGAAAGATAGTCTCATCTACGTAATCTGTTTGTAAAAAAACGTTTACCTTTTTCATTTCAGGCGAATCCTGTTCCCTTAGTACAGGGTTTATTTCTCGTAATTCCAATTTTACACCAAGTATATCTAAAAGCATTAGAACAGTTCTGGCGGGCGGACTGGCTTCCGTCATATACAGTATTCCGCTCATTGCTTTATTTCTGGAACGGAAATAAAAAAGTTGTGTTTTTATGGTTACATTATTATTTACATTATTGCCTCGCAGTTTGAAATAAGAATATTCTCAGGTAGTTTTTTAATGGGTGAAAATGACATAGTAACTTAACTTTCGTTATCGCTATATTCTGGCGAGGAACAAAGTGAGGGATGATAGGTGAGCATCTAGTCAGGTCAGTTGGCTTATCGTAATAAATTCATCAGGAGTTAATCACGAGGGTTTTAAGGGAGACCGTCTGAAGGTGGTCCTGTTAGAGTATATAGTATTAATAATAATAAATAATAAAGATATATTTATTTAACAGAGTATGTTTGTATAAGCGCAGAATTTATTATTGATTCCTACACTCGGCTCAGCCTGTCCTGTAGGAGAGGAACAAGATATATAGCTGCATATGAAACAGGGCATATAGCTTGCAATGGTACCATTAAATACTATTATTAATAATCTCTTCCCTTCTACTCTCCTGTAGTTACGACGTTTGACATTATGGGTGCACTTTTTACATTCTCATCTCGTGATTTTATTATTTTTATTATATAAGCTATTTACTGTTTACTAATGCACAAAGGCATCTCCCTATTGGGGAGTTATGCCAGTAATTGCCACGTGCAGTCTTTCCCGTGATTTACGTAAGAATAAAATTGAAGGGTTCTGTATGAGATAAAAATAGTGTGATAATAGCCACCTGTCTATTAGTATTCAAAGATGGAGTACAGTTAGTCATATAGATGAGAATGATGTAGTTGGTTCATGGAGAATTACAGTAGTTTTCAAGCAAGATATTGTGAAAACCGGTCAGACATAGCATAATAAGGCCCCAAAGCAAAGGGAACTGAATCGATTTCTACCTGGAAACTAAACCCCGTCTTCATTTATTTAGGTCGATTAAGAAGCAATATTTATTTTGTGTTGTCTATTTACTATGCATTAGATTCTGAGCATGAAATGTCTTACAGTTAATAAATTATAATATTTTCTTTGGAACAGAAAGAAATATATCTCAATAATAATAAAAAAAAAACGATATTCTCAGAAGAATATGATTGTGTCGCAGATGTCAATGACCCAGGTTCTCATCTTTTTATAATAAGACGATATTATATTATTTCTGGTCTTTATATTAAGGCCAAATTATAATTAGATTAGATATATCAGTATGTCGGATCTTAGTGTATATATTCGCCATAAAATAAAAAAAAATAAAAAGTAGAAACACGGAGTGATATATACTCTATCAAGTACTCTTTGAGTTGAAATTGATTGATAACTTCAAATTTTAAAATGCGACAAATAATTAATAAATATACTGATTGGTGCCAACTTCGAATCGTTGACAATAAAAAATCAAGTAGGTATGTACATAATATTTACTTGCAACTACGTTGCGTTAAATTTCGATAGTGTATTTAAAGTATGTGTCAACAACGCGAAGTTGTTAATAAGTGCACTAGTAGCCCATTCCTAATAATATACATCCTGTCAAGTGGACCTCCATGTGGTCATCTTGATTAACTCCTGGTAAATTCATTAATTCAACGGTTTTTTTTAATGGATGATAATGGAATGGAAACCCCATTTTTTTTAACGTCTGGAAAATGCTTTATGCATTTTAGACGATATACCCTCGAGGTGCCATATGTCGGAGACATGGATTTGCTTTCGCACTCACCGCATACCCGACGGCAACCCGCCTGCGCTATCGGTATACACTGGCGAGGCGCCAGTGAGGAATGATAAGTGAAAATAAAAGAGCAGGTCAGTTAACCCATCGTGATAAATACACCTGGAATACAGCACGATGGTTTCCAGGGGGGGACCATATAGGTCGTCTTGACGGGGTATATTGCTAGCAATGGGACTGTTAGTCCGCATTACTAACAATCCCTCCCCCCCAAATTCAATGGGTTGATTGATCTTATTTTCATCTTCACATATCATCGTTTACAGGTATTTGTCAGTCATTGTTAGTAATGGCTATGCTAGAATTACTAGCGGTTATGTTACTAGTAATATACCCCTTTGGAAGCCATCGTCCATTCCTAGTGAATTTGTTAAGATGGGCCAATTGATCTGGTCTCATTCACATCTATCGTCATTAGTCATCACATTTTCATCACACATCGGGAGCCAGCGTATATCGATAGAGCAGGAGAGGACAACATTTCATCATTATAAAAAAGAAATATAGCATTGAACGCAATCGGAGATACTATTTTGAATCCGTAAAAATATACATTATAATAATAAATTTATATATATTTATTTTATAATTATACAGGGAAACTGTAAACTTTAAATAAACAAGATTGTTAAAATAGATTAACATGTTAATTTTTTATCATTACTAGATGACGCCGACTAAAACAAACAGCTTGGCTTGGCCTAACAAAGCGAGATAAACTTTGGTTTTTTACCTTGTAAGTGCGAGCCCCAAAGAAAGGGTTCTGCGTTTATTTACATAACATTTTGTTGTTTTTAACTGTTCAACCTTAACCTAAGTAAAAGGATAAAATTTTGTTTTTTTTTTCTAACTGTCCAACTGTCCTTACCCTAAGTAAAAGGTCGAGATAATTCAGGTAAATTATCATAGTTTATCTAAATGATCGCCTATAAAACATAAATTAATAAGTTTTGGGGCCGGCTAGACAAAAAACATCCATAAAAAAATCAATAAATAAATTAGACAGTGTAAACAACGCGCAACATAAAATAAACATAAACATATAAATAATATAATCCAATTGAGACTTCTCCTTTTGGAAGTTGATGAATATTTTAAAACATAACCTATAAACTATAAAGTAAAAATAAGTACCTACAGGATTCTTAGTACCTAATACAGAATAATTGAAAAAAATATCTTACTTACCTATAAAAGGATTTTCATAAAATTCTTACTACTCACAATTGAATTAAACAAAATTCTAACAATAACCACAAATCATGTAAAACTAGTTTTTCTACAATATCAATGGATATTGGACTCTTTGGGAATAGTTTTTGGACTGATTTGGACTTGGACATTTGTTATCTCAGAGTTCATAATCACAGAGTACTTTTGTTTATGTCAATATCAATCACTGCATTATATCAGCAGCACATTATAGCTTACTGTTTAATTTAAGAGTAAATGTAGAGATGGCAGCACTGTTTGAAGGTGCATGTAATGGAGTGCATTAATAACTATAAGGTGAAATTGAAAGTATCCTTTTAGAAAAGAGTTCAACAAATTTGGAAAAAAAATGTATCAATAACAATAAAATATGCTAAGCTTCTCATATCAATACTGCGCGTCTAACTGTAGTATTAGTAGGTATAGATTTTAAATTTTTTTGTCGGTAGGTACTTTTTCACAATAATTCGAATAATTATCGAGATGTTATTTGAATTTTTGTGGAAAACTTCCATTCTACTGGCTATTATAGTTGAAGTCACGGGCACATTAGTCTAACATAAAACTTAGTTGCTGTTGCTTCAAAGCATACAAATACAACATGGCAGCTTATTATTAACGTTTAAAACCTGATAAGTTTACAGATTAAAATTACGCTGCTTTACATTTATTCCTTTTTTGTTCTAAAATCATAGACTAAACAGGCTAGTTTGTATTCATGTGACCTAAACCTATTTTATTTTCAAAAGTTTGTAATAATGTTGTACTCGTATTGTTGAACCCTTAATTCAAAACTAGTTTTTTCTCACGACTTTGTTCACATGACCGAGACACATTAATTAACCAGGATAAACAGCACCCAATCTTATTTTCCATTCTCAATGAGTGTACCAAATTTTGATACGAATGGTTGAGCCGTTACTTCGACAAGAGGTAACAAACAAACTCACTTTTATTTAATTTATTTATTATTCATTTGAGACATAAGATAGTTAGTGTTACATATAAAAAAAACATAAGTATTTCGCCATACATAGGCATGTAAATATTGGATCCGTAATATTAGTTTAATTTTTCTGTATACAACTTAGAATGGCAAACAAGCTGACGGCCCACCTGATGGAAAGTGGTACCTAACCGTCGCCTATAGACATGAACAGTACCATGGACATAACAGAGTATACTGTTTCGCCCATGATACCCCCATGCGTTGCCATTCCTAAAGACTCAGGTGTTATTCCTCTGTACCCAGTAAATTCACGCCATATCTTATCCTTCAAATCGAAACACAGCCATGCAAACATAACTGCTTCATGGTTGAAACACGAGGTACATTACTTTATTATGTTATTTCAATATGTCCGTATTAATTTAATCCTTTATTTGCTACATTATATTCATTAACATTTTAAGAATACATACATATATTAATAATATTATTAAATTAATAAAAATGAGCTCTCTCGTTCTCAACTCTTAACTGTATGTAGATATATGTCAATGTTACTCAATCACACATAAATTACGGAACGGATTTGAATCAAATCTGTACACAAATGAACCGTGACCTATATTTACACATAGGATATTATTTTTCTAATTTTCATAAACAAACCCGCGGGTTGTTGCTAATGAAACTGTAAAGCTGAATGAACATCTTTTTGAATGACTTGCCCTTGGGCGTAATACCGATCTTCAGCCATTTTATAGGTATACAGAAGGCTTTATAATCAAAGGATATAAGACGCCATGTTTTGATTGCCTCGGGCTACTCTACAATATAGTCTAATAACGACGCAGGAACGGCAAAATGTATTAACCGCCATTTAGGGAATTTTAAGGGAGAATTTAGAAAAAAAACAATTTTTTTTTAACACAGTGGGCAAACGATCATGCGGCTCACCTGGTGGTAAGTGACTACCGCCGCCCATGATCACCCCCAACACTAATGGCATTGCATGTGCTGCCGGCCTTTTAAAAAGAAATATGCTCTTATCTTGAAGGTTATATTGTCGTTACGGTTCGGAAATACTGCTGCTGGAAATAAATCGAATAAAATAAATATTAGAGATATAGCTAATAGTATACTCGTATGTTTGATATGGTAAAATAGTGAATATCACATCTCTATATTTTTTACATGACTTATACCAATAAAAAGTAGAAAATAAATAAAAGTTTTGGAAGTTAAATTAAAGAAATTTCTTTGGTTGGACATTTTGGGAATTGGCTCAATTACACCTTTTTTAAATAAGTATACCATTAAATACAATACAATATATATATATATATATATATATATATATATATATATATATATATATATATATATATATATATATATATATCGGCCAAAGTGGCGCTTAATACATTTTGAATTCCGTTGATATACTTTTGATCAGCCTATTCCGTTTTTCGCTCGCTTCCAGTTGAGAAAATACGTAACTAACATTATTATCTATGGTTGAATTAGGTTACTCAATGTAGATTACATTGTGAAGTTTGAACAATTAATAATTATTTAACAATATACTGTTTACCTTAAAAATACTTGTTTCTCTACAAGAGATATGTTATACTTTAGGGATAAAATCTTATATTACGCTAGACGAATTGGGTTTGGGTGGACAATTTTTTTTATGATATATAAAATGGCAAACAAGCTGACGGCTCACCTGATGGGAAGTGGTAAATGTCGTCCATAAATATGAACCGCACACCACTGTCATCACAGAATACGTTGTGATGTTCGTGGTGTGTGTATCCTTCGTACGTTGCCATTCCTGAGGACTGTAAGACCGTACACATGCTTCCATGCACTGAATTCCACTGCCTACATTTATATATATATATATATATATATATATATATATATATATATATATATATATATATATATATATATATATATATTTTATACAACTTAGAATGGCAAACAAGCCAACGGCCCTCCTGATGGAAAGTGGTAACCGTCGCCTATAGACATGAGCAGTACCATGGACATAACAGAGTATACTGTTTCGCCCATGATACTCCCCATGCGTTGCCATTCCTGAGGACTCAAGTGTTATTCCTCTGTACCCTGTATATATAGGTTTTTTTCAACTGACTTCAAAAGAAGCAGGTTCTCAGTCCGGTTGTATTTTTTTTTTGTTTCTTATCTCATTACTCCTTACCTTACCTCAGTTCTAAAGCGATTTGGATTTTTTTTTATCTGAAAGGATATATTTATAGATTGATCCCATAGATATTTTATCAAAATCAGTTTTTAGATAAAAGATTGATTTTGTCACAATTCAAGTTGGTTTTTTTTGTGAGAACAATTTTTAATTATTTCTTTGCAAAATCGGGACTAAAAAACAACCATAATGTTCTAATTGTTGTAAGAAAATTAATTATCTATACTTAAATTATTTTATATTGTATTATTGCCATGAAATCCATATCACTGTTATATTTATAATTAAGACGAATTTAATGATTTATTACAATTTATCAAACAGTTCATATTATAGGTACAAGTGTGTTGTGTACTTGTCAAACATATGGGCAAGATATTATATACATTATTCTATCTATCTATCTATCCTATTTAAGAGCTGCGCTCTTGTCGGTGGAGCTCTTGCCACTCACTACGATTTTCAGTGAGTTTCTTCACCTCTTGATACGACACGACACCAACTCCTTCCTTGATATGCCTGATTATTATTTGCTATATATTATTATTATATTACATCATAGTCATATCAGCCGTTAACTGTCCACTGCTGAACATAGCCCCCCCTCATAAGGGAGCCAGTAGTTGCGAAGTTTGGTAGACGAATTAGCAACCGAAGTTAGGTTTTGGTGATGTTTTAAGAAGGATGCTGCTGCCCATCTCTCGATCATTAAGTTTCCTTAATTGCCGCTTACGACACCCACTGGTAAGGAAGGGGTGGCCATTTTATTTATGGTATTACATACTTGCAGCAAGTATCTTCATTCTTAGGCATTTTCGTAAAAAGATATTAGAAAATGTCATTTCTTTGAAATTTTTTATAAAATTTACTCGTGAGGGGGGAAGGGATTGTTAATAATCCAGACTACCAGTCTTATTGCTAGCAATATACCCTGTCAGGTCGACATGCATGTGGTCCCCCCTGGAAGTCATCATGCTGAATCCCAGATGTACTCATTATCATTCTCACCTCTTATTATAATCGATTAAATATATTATGTCATGTGATTGTTAGAGTCAGTTGTAGATTGTAGCAAAAAAAATAAATATAGGAATTTACTAATTTTATGGCAAAGTTACCTGTGAGATTTTCCTATTTAATTTAATTAATCAATTTTAATGTTAGTTCAAAATGTATCCAAATAAATGAATTATGTTTCTCTCTATACTTATAGGTATAAGTTGTAATGTAGGTACCTATCTGATATCTGTTGGAGGTAAATGGAGCTAATACAATTATTGAGCGAAGACATACAACATTGTATCGATATTGAATATTTTACGAGTATAAATATAATGTAACAATATATGTACCTATATTACTATATTATCATACTATAGGTCATTCACCTTTCTGACGTACAGCATTGAAGTTAAACTATAGTACAAGTCTCTATGTGTAATATAATTTATCGTGTAAAATTGACAGTCTATTGAGTTAAACTCATAATTCGTAACTAGTTTTTACCCGCGACTTTACCTCCGTGATCTATGTTGATTGACCGGAATAAAAAACATTCCATGTTTATTTTCATTCCAATAGTATTGCAATAACAGTTTTTATGACAACTAAGTCGTCAAGAAGTAACAAATAAATAAACAACAAACTCACTTTCACAATAATTATAAGTTGTGATAATAACATCTTCCCAAATATATAAACAACTATACAATAGCGGATATAAACGAAAATTAGAACTGATACGATATCATAACATTCTTTCATAGTGTTCAAACTCTCATAAATAAAATACATCATGATATATATTTACAATTTAATTTTATATTACAATTTATGTAAACTTTGATAATATATTAAAAACTTAAATCGCTGTTAATAGGGTACAGTCGTATATAAATATGAAACGGATTCAGCATAATGAGTACGTCGTATAGCTTCAGCCAGCATCACAGATATGTCTATAGTCTGGAGTTTAGGACATAGTTTCATATGTTTATCCTGCGGTATTGTATTCGTTACCACAATAGCTTCCAAGCATGAGGCATTGATTTTCTGAATAGCGTCACCAGCAAACACACCATGTGTTAAAATCGCATAAATTTTATTTGCTCCAGCTTCGCGTAATTTATCTGCGGCTTTAACTATTGTGTCACATGTATCTGCTAAGTCGTCGACCATGATAGCTGTTCTGTTCTTGACATCGCCAACAAGAACTGTGGAATCACCTTCATTGGCTCTTTGCCTTTCTTTGTGGATAATAGCAAAATCAATGTCAAGTCGATCGGCTATAGCAGTCATTCTTTTCGCACCGCCCGCGTCAGGTGACACCATTACGCTAGTACTCCATTCAGGTATATTTTCTTTAATCCATTTTGTGATAGCTGGTTCGGCGTAAAGATTATCTACAGGTATATTGAAGAATCCTTGGATTTGAGAAGAGTGCAAATCCATGGTAATAACATGGTCGGCACCGGCAACTGATATGAGATTAGCTAACAGCTTGGCAGTTATGGGCGCTCGACTTTTTTCTTTTTTGTCTTGTCTGGAGTATGGGAAGGAAGGTATGACCGCGGTAACTCTTGAAGCCGATGCGATTTTGCAAGCGTTGATCATAATAAATAACTCCATAAGATTATCATTGATTTCTCCAGATCCACTTTGAACAATATAGACATCCTCACCTCTTACAGATTCGCCAATTTCAACATTAGTCTCCTTGTTGCTGAATTTTTTTGTAATCGCCTTTCCCAAAGTTAGTCCAAGTCTGGATGATATTTTCTCAGCGATGTCAGGGTGGGAAGATCCCGTGAATACTTTTATATTTGGCATTCTCGGACTGGGATGGACGAAACTTCTTTTATTCGATTTCTCTTGCTCCTCTTGGTGGCCTTCTGGCTTCATCAGGGGACCCTTTACGACTCAGCTGCGGGCAGCTTATGACTGACTTTGCTTTAAGCAAATTTATCTGAGTTCACGATAAGGTCAGGTCGGGGTATCTGTAATCAGTATCCCTCGCAATACAACAGACCTTATCATATTACGCTATTAATGTAAATTCTTGTTTTCTTGGTCACCATAGTAAAATTTATCATTGTTATATGCAGATGTTCTTACTAATATGCAATAAATAGGTTACATGGGCATTTTCCTTTCAAATAAATAGGGGTTTGTATTAATTTATGAATACGAAAAGGGACTTTTTTTTCGTCTGGAATTTAAGAAATCCTTTCATAATCATTGTCTACGTAATAAAACGAAAATAATTATAATAAAAAAAATTATAACCAATAGCGTTTTATGCGGTGTGCTGATAGATCTAGCCAGTCGAGTAGGTAGGCTATTTATTTTTACTTGTATATAAATTATGATTTTAATACTAAGTTAATCATTTAAGCATACTGTACTATACATGATAGTTGCAATAAAAGATCGTTGTTACATTTTTACGTAAAGACTGATATTAATATTTATATGAATACTTATTATATTCATGTAAACAAGTAACAGTGTTATCAGTTCATTATGATGTAATATATAATGATTCGTTTATAATAATAACGTAAAAATACCTATTAATGTTTTTATAAGCTATTGTTGTATTCAGAGTTTTTTTTATTCTATTTTGAAAGATAAGTAATTTAATAATCCTAATGAAAAGTAAGATAACGTGTGCACTTTTTAGAGAAATGTTAAAAAAGTGTTTTAAAATATAAGTGATTTTTGTTTTTCTATGGAAATTAGATTAGATGTAGATTCATTGCTAGCTTAATAAGTGAAAATTCATTAAGCGCAAAAATAACAATTTTTCTAATGTTATTAAAAAAAAAAAAACTCACGCAACGAGGAATACGTACAAAATTATTAAGTTAATTTTTTTTTGTTAAATAACTACAAATTTACGGTTTTCGGATTTTTTTCTTTACTTGTGTTACATGACATTGCTTCTTGTCAATTTTCATGATTTTAGGTTTACGAGAAGTACCCTATAGGTTTGGATTCCCTTGCGATATAAATGGAACATAAACGTCCTTATTTTTCGATTGCGTCGATTTAGAAGACTGTTTTTTCACTGCTTTGAGAGGATGCAGACCTGTATATATGATACATCCACGCGTTCCTAAGGTTTTGAAAGACAGACGAAAAGACGGACGGGAAACAAAGTGATCCTATCCTTTTTTTCCTTTGGAGGTACGGAATCCAGAACTTTTATCATTGGCGGTACGATTTACGAAACCTTACCTTGCAAATAACTCCTCTGGTAATATCTACACATGTAGAGACATGTGTAGCTCTGGATATAAATAAATAAATAAAAAAAGTGTTAAAAATATATCGAATATGTATTATTAATAAATTAAATCTACCTATAATATTGACTTGCTCTAGTTAACAACGATTGATTTATTGTTACTTTACAGAAATTGGAAGTATATACGAAATTTTAAACTCACAAATTTTGTTTTTAAGAAAACAACAATCAAATTCCTGACCCTTTCTATTCAATTAGAACTGGACGAGTTTAAGATATTACAAAATTAATAGTATTATTTTTATATTCAATTCACTTTATCTCTACTTTTTTAAGAGCATTTCCTTTAAGCTATTTTGTTCATATTGGTCTTTTAATTAGTATGTAATATTTGTTATAATAATAAATAATTATTAAGTATTTATGTATGTGTAAAATATAACGGGGAAAATATGTGTAAACTGCTTAAATAATAAATGAAAGAGCGATTACATCACAATAAGTAATTTATTCTTATATGACGTTTGGTGTATTTGCTCAAAATAATTAGCAAGATAAATTTTATCACAATAAGAAGCAAATATTTACAAATGACTAATTAAATATGTTCACATGTTGATAAATAGCGCTATTTTATACCACTGATTGGCAAACAAGCGTTCGACCCACCTGATGGTAAGCGGTTATCGTATCCTGTGAACGTTTGCAATATCAAGGGCATTATGCGCGCGTAGTCAAACCTGATGAAACCTCTTTAGCCCGTTTTTGAAGAACCCTATGCTGTAGTTTTTCTTTAAATTTATAAATAATTCGTTTTTATCCGAGATTATAACTGGGATATTTTGTTTAATTGGAATAAATGCGTCTATGCTCTTCTCTATATATGCGTGGGTAGTGGTGTATACTTAAATAATAAACGTATACCAATTTTCATGGCAATTGGTTGAGCAGTTATAATGCCAAGATGCAACAAACAAACTTAATTTTACATTTATAATATTATAATAATAAGGATTATTATGTTATCATTATTGTAATATCTTCGTTGTTCTCGAGTTCACATAAATTTATCGTCCTTACGATGTGTTTATGATGATCATAATTGTTGTCCTTATCATCTAAACCATAAACATTAATTTCTTTGATAGTATGAGCCCATATAGCTTTATCTGTGTCACACAGTGCATCAAAATCATCACCTACAGCTGTTATTTTTAACTGCCTCGTATCCGTTTCGAATTTGAGAGACATATTATTAGTCATGTACATGTGTCCAGAAGCTTCGCATACTTTTTGTTGAATGGTGTTATTGAATTCATTGGTGATATTTACAAAATGGCAGTCGATAGCTACTATCAAAGAAAAACTAGATTGCAGTCGAGTTTTGTCGGCAGTCTCTTCAACATCCTGTAATATTATAAGAAAACGGTGATATTATTTTTCTTGATATTTGTACATACAAATAAAATAATATTACTGTAACATTTATTGACTCGTAAATGTAGTATTGAAAGATTTTGTAATTACACATTTTATTAAATTAGTTGTTTATTCTTTGATTTTGTATCTTGTTATTATACATTGTCATAATAAACTTAGCCTTATATTTTAAAGTGTGAAATAAGTGACAATTATTTTTTAAATTATTCAAATATCAATTTGAAAAATTTTGTAGCTTAGGTTGGAATTTCATATTGGGATTTCTAATTTGCAGTTAACAGTAGAGTGGTTATCACATTACTAATTATTTTGTGAATGCCATCGAATCACAATAAAAAAATATTAATAATGAAATAATTTACTTATAATATTAGATTAGTAGTGCATGGTATCGCCTTGAACTTGAAAGGTCGTGAGATATTTTTCAATCTCTAAATTAATTAACAATAATAAGGTATCAAGTAAATAGCAAGCGTGATTTTAGGTACACAAAATATGCTAGCCACACTTTGTTTTCATAGAATTTAAAACACCTAATTTCTTTCTGTTGTTCTCGCAAACATATATGTATACGATATATGAGACACAAAAATAAATAAACACAAAAATACATAGTGAAAAATTGCAATTACATATAATATAAATTACGTAAACTGCAATTAAAGTTAACCGTCCGGCGGGCTTTAACTTGTTTGCTATTGTAAATTACTTAAAAAAATAAAGCACTTACTTTTTGCAACGCAATAATTGAATCTCCACGTATTAGTGTCAGAAAATCGGCACTAGTCGTAGTCATTGTGACTGCATCACCTTCTTCACCTTTTAGTTTAAATCCACTCCAGATTTCATACCAACTTCCAGGAGGAAGCCATACATGAACATGACTCTGACTTGGGGTTAAGTTTGGAACTATCAACAAGTTGTCTCCAACGCTGAATTGGGTCGTCAAGTCTTTTAAACTCTCAGATGAAGGGAACTGGTAAAACATTGGTCTAAGAAGTGGTCCTTCTTGCAATGTTGTATAGAAATATGGCAACATAGTTAACCTTTGATTCAGTGCGTTAATCGTAAGTCTCCTATCAGTTCCCTCGAAAGCCAAAGGATGTTTCGCTACTGACTTGGAATGTATTTTAATCATGGGCATATATGTAGCAGCCATATACCATTTAAGGCAAAGTTCGATTTGAGTTTTATTGTTATAATTATCTGTATCTCCACAAATAGGCGTCGACCAAAGCCAATGCCCTGATATACCGCCCAAAGCAGCCTCAACCAGTTCTTTCCGAAGGTTTGTCCAAGAAGTGGAAATATTTTGCCTGTTTATCATGACATCTCCTTTTCTCCATTGATTGGATGCCCACGTCGGTATACCTCCGGATGCAAAATTAACAGCATCGATAAAATTATTTGCATAATCGTTGTGACTGTGGTAGTATGTTTTACCGTTAGGACGAGTACAATTCCACTGCGGCGTCTGATTGAATGCTGTTTCGAAATTCTGAAATAGTTTAATTCGAATTTTGAATAATCTTTTCTGTATTATTTTATTTATGTAAATGATTCAAACAATAATACAAACCTTATTGAAGTACGGTAAAGATAAATACTTGGCTTCATGATCTTTGACAGATTCATCTAGAGGCCAAATATTTTCTATGATCACACCGTCTAATTCAGTATTATAGGCCCATATGTTTTGTAAGAATTCTTCAGTTATATTTTCATAGTCAGGATATAAAACATCATAATTTCCTATTAAGCCTTTATAAACATCAAATGAATTCGGTTCGCGGATTATAAATTCATTGAAATCATGAGCTATATTTACACAAGATTCGTTTAATGATATACTTTTCTCAACGTCTTCCGAAACTGTGCTATTATGTTCTCCATATATTATCTGTAACAAAGAAATCATTATAGCGATATTGCAAAAAGTTTGATTTCTTAATTGTATATTAATTGGGAAAGCAGAATAATTTTTTTTTAACTCAATATTTTTAATTATTGGGATTAATTAGACATTAATTTTGTGGTAAAAATAGACAAGAGTGGCATTTTATTAATAAATTTATAATTTTTAAAATAATTTGTTTATTTATTAATTATTATTATTCTGGGCTTTTTAATAATAATAATACCAATTTCTTAAAACATTGACGTTTAAACAATTTAGGCTTATAAAAAATAACCATAAAAATAAGAAGTAATTATTTTTTATAAATCCTATGTGAAAGTTTGTAATGCTGGATGGATTGATTGGCTTGTTGAAGATTTAAATAAAACTTGGTACACGAGTATGTTATATCTTAACTTAGTATATACAATATTTGATCCACGTGGGTGGAGCTGCTGGATACAGCTAGTATTTAATAATTGCGTTTTCCAATAAATAAACAAACAAACACAAACAAACAAATAACTAAATAGCCAAGTAAATAAGCAAGTTAATAATCAAGTAAATAAGCAAATAAATAGACAAGTAAATAGGCAAGGAAATAAGCAAGTAAATTGGTAAGGAAATAGGCAAGTAAATATGCGAGTAAATAGGCAAGTAAAAAAATAATAATTTACAAATGAGAAATGACATTTTCTCGTGATTTTACGCAAGAGGCATTTTAACAAGTGTATTAACTATTGCCTTATCTCTGCATTGATTGTATATTTTCAGTTCATTGTTTTTTTAATGTTATTTTTTTTACTTCAATGCCTATATGTTACGCTCGTCTCTCATCAGTTATACAAATGCTGTGATTCACACAAATTTCGATAACGTTTCTACAAATTTACATACGTCTATAGGTATTATTTTTATATATAAAAATATATATAAAAATATATATGTAAAGTTAATATTTATAGTTATCAAGTCTTTCATAGTCATACATAGTTAGGTTTTATTTCAGGTAACAGTTAGTTAATTGTCAATAGATATGTTAATAGTACTGAAACCGTTTTTCTGGATGGGCGCGTATTTTCCATCAAGTGTTGTAAAATCTATTATATAATAAAAATAAACACATTTAATGTTTACTTCATAAGAATTCGATTTATAATTTAGTGTAATATATATATAGTGACTACTTAATTTTGTTTTTTTTTTATATTTCATTTGGGAATTTTTAATTTGATATTTCTATGCATAAATGTTATTCTTCAAATAGAATTTCATTGAAATGTGATATAACAATTTTTCTTTGTGATATGCCGAGGTATGCAATACTTATTTTTAGATAAAAAGTAAAACATTGTTTATTGAAATATCTTTACGATAAAAGAATATTTTTCGGCATTGGAAAATATTGAAACGCTTTGGAGTTTCAATCTGCACTTCTGTTTTTACCATTTGATTGAGTACTCTTTTAATAGATGCTTTTAAAAATCTTCTCAATATTTAACCACTTAACTACACTTTACGGAATGATGAATTTACTGGTAAAAACTCTGAATTTTAATATGTTCTCAAGTTTAAAACACGAAATATAAATATTTTATTGTAACAATATATATTATATTTTGATTGTGAAATACATTTTGATTGTAACAGTAAGGTCTGCGCTTGTGTTGTAGTCACTTATGGTTAAGAGTGTTTATACAGAAGCTTACCGAAATATGGCAGTATCGATAAAAAAAAAAAAATTTTAAAACGTCATATATTAATAGGTACAGAAAAATAAGTATGAAGAAATTGTGAAATTTTTGGCGTTACATTTACGTGCAACTAATTTTAAGTTTTATTAATGTTTTTTAATTAATCAGTAATATTGTAAATTGTTAAAAATTGATGTATAAATTTGTAAACTTGAATGATCTCTAAAATTAGTCCAATTTTCTCGACAAAAATATACGTGATAATGATGATGATAAGTCTTGATTGTTTTCGTTTACGATCACCACGTTGATTCCGTTTTTTTTAATTAATTGTCTACATAGAGAGCTACTAGATTAGCTGTTGTTGGCGTTGTTGTTCTCGAATGTGGCTTATATAGCCAATCTTTGTAGTAAAGGTTCTAAAAAAAGGTTGTGAAAAGTTTAATATTGCTGAACTCAGAAACTTTGGCTGTGTTGCTGTCATATGACATATAAGTTTATAAATTGCTTGACCGGTTTTGATAAAATATTAGTAATCTAAGAATTGGTTTCCATTGCTTAATAGCTTTTCTGAAAAAAAATATTGTATAAATATTTCGATCCATTTTATTTATTTATACTAAACGTAATAAAATAAAAACTTACATGTGGCGAAACATGACCTATTACTTTTTTGCTGGCGTTTTTTAAAAGCTCTCCTCCTTTATCAAAGTAAATGCCAGAATCTAAACATACTTCGTTTTGAAAAACGATTGGAGTAGTACCACAGTGGCTTTCATAGGGTATTTTCTCTTGACTAGCTGATGTTACAAATTTCTGTAGATCTTCAAAAGCTTCTTCTGGTGTCTCAGCAATTTCGCTGAAAAGGTTAAATTTGTTTTCTTAATGATATATATCATAATATAATATATATCAATTTATAGAATTGTATATATATTAATCAATTATCATTTTTGATTTCTGACACGTACTTATACTTGTCCGTGAAATGTTAGTTGGAAGCAACAAGTATTTTTTATACAAATAAACATTAAGATCTACTTACTTGCAAATATGGGCACCAAGCATCCAATATTCTAACTGTTTGTTTGAACCGATAAACTTTCGTACATCGTTCATTACATCTGCAGGCTTCGGTCCTACAAATACGTGTAATTTCAAGCCGTCACTCGTTATACTTCTAACAACGACATTGTTCTCCCCCTGTATTGATATTTCAGTTGGTGCTCGGGCCTCAATTAGTACACCATGATAAGAGCCGTTTAATTTCGCATAGATTAATGGCGCAGTATTTAAACCTCCATCGTGGTTATAAATAACTTTCACTGTGCCCTCTTTCAGGGGCAATTCTCCGAGACCATAAATTGATTCGTTTGTTACTCTGAAAGCTATTTCCCAAATGTTATTTGACGCAATCAAAGGACCTCTCAATGTACTGAATAATCGTCCTTGCGGTCCATTTACGGATATATCCATCTCGGTAGGTAACACTTCGTAACTGTACATTTTATTCTCTATTCTTTGTCCGCTAAGTGACGTTTTTTGTGGATCGTAAAACGTTAGCGACATGTGTGTTGGAGATATTTCATCTATAGACAATTTCATGGTTTTAAAACTCTCTTGAAAGTTGTATGGAACCGTTGCGATTCTAGGCATAAGGATGACATCTTCAGACCATTTCTGTTGGAAGATATACGAGAACCGCGATGGATATCTGTGAAAACAGATTTTGTTAATTGTATCGTAACAACACTGTGGGTGACATTCTTCTTGTGACACGTTTCCTGAGCCACACGGAAGTCTTGCAGATCTTTGAATGACGCACGATCCAGTGGAGAATCCGTCCAATGGTGGTCTCTCAGCAGTCATTACGAATATGTATTGATATAGTAACACGGGTATTAGTACTGATAACAAGACCAATCCGATGGCAACCCGTAATGTCCTGTTTAGTAACACCGCATCGTACCATTTGATTTCTGAAAAATAAAAGTACGCCACATATATAGCTAATGGAAATTTTTATGATATTATATATTGATATATATAGTAGAAAAATAATATGCTGAAAAATATTTTTCTGCCTGTTAAGCTAAATAAGGAAGTAATAATTTTTTCTTGCTAATTAAAATGCCCTCTTCAGAATCACGATGTTATGATTGCGATCTACCACAATTTGCGGTTTTTAATTATTATAATTTTTCATAGGATATATATATATATATATATATATATATATATATATATATATTTTTTGTTTTTTTTTTTTAATATTAAATATTTTCTTTCTATTAAACTTCTGACAATGACAACCTCACAAACATTTAGCCATCGTAATTTTATACTACGTATTTGTATAAATATAAATTTATTTATTATATTTGTATTGCCAGAGTTATGTAGTAGTAAATTTTTTTACCACCACTGAGGTGGCAAACAGACATACGGTCCGTCTACCTATTAAAACTTATATAAAATACTAACATATTTTTTTTTATGCAACTTAGAATGGCAAACAAGATGACGGCCCACCTAATGGAAAGTGGTAACCGTCGCCTATAGACATGAGCAGTACCATGGACATAACTGAGTATACTGTTTCGCCCATGATACTCCCCATGCGTTCCATTCCTGAGGACTCAGGTGTTATTTCTCTGTACTCAGTAAATTCACGCCATATCCCACCCTTCAAACCGAAACACAGCCATGCAAACATAACTGCTTCACGGTTGAAACACGAATGGGACAGAGGTACGCAAGCAAACGACTTTTGTACAAAGTCTTCCTCTGGTTAAATAACGACAAAGATTGTTAATTTTTTTATTGTTAATCAAAAAATAAAATAAAAAAAACAATATTTTATTATTTTTGCGTTTTGAAATTTAATTTGGTTTATGTAAACGTAATTAATTACTGAGATATGTGCGGTAATAGAATATATCTGGGCGCATCAAGTGTTGATCACTGGATAAAAGTCAGCTAACGAACATGACTTTGGCTGATTGATTTTAGATTAATTTTATATTTTTATCCTTACAATATAAAGCCACTTAGTGAGTAATAATTAAAACTATACATCCTGATATCCTCATTCACGAATACATACATGAATAAAAAAGAAAGCCTGTTTTTGGTAAAGTACTTTGAGTTTACTTTGAGTTATAGATTATATATGAGTGACATTCTTCTTGTGACACGTTTCCTAAGCCACACCGAAGTCTTGCAGATCTTTGAATGACGCACGATATGGGGTCAGCTAAGCCAATGCACCCATACAGATCTTTTGTGCTACCCCCTGCTTATACCATCATTTCATAGATCCTATGTGTTACCCTAACGATACCCGCGGTTTAAGATATCTGTAGACCCCTGGTTCTGGATAAGCCGTTCCCAGTAGACTCATGTGAGATATGATTTAAATGTAAATATTTTCACATCATTTGTAAATGTAAATATTACATTATACTACAAACATAGGGAGAAAGGGACTTTTACTAATGGGATCTAATAGCCCCACTGCTAGCAATATAACCTTATTAGGTCGACCTCCACGCGGTTCACCCCGGGAACCATCTTGGTTAATTTTTTATGAATTCGTTACTATAGACCAACTGATCTGTTTTTATCCTCACCTATCCTCTCTTACTGATACCCCGCCAGCGTATACCGATAGCGGAGACGGGGTTATCATTCCATTATCACCTATTAGGAAAAAACTACTGATAGGTATTGGTTTTTATTACTTCATACTATTACTCATGGACATTAGGTTTACTTACGCTTTGCATTTTTATCATATTCATAAGGTTCTTCATTTACGATTTCTTCCTTCTTCTCGTTTGCGTATGGTAACATTATGTAGTTTTATCTGAAACAAAATAATTTACAATGGAATTAAACCATTTTATACTCAATTTATAGTTATCTTATCTTATTTTTCTTTTTCGCATATGGGGTCAGCTGAGCTGATGCACCCATATGGATCTTTTGTGCTTCCCCCTGCCTTACACCATCATTTCATAGATCCTATGTGTTACCCTAACTATATCCCGCGGTTTAAGATATCTGTAGTCCCCTAGTTCTGGATAAGCCGTTCCCAGTAGACTCATACGCATATTTGCCAACGAATCGCAGTTGCACATCAAGTGTTCCATGGATTCCGATTTCTTCCCGCACAGTCTGCTCAATTTGTAGTTGAACAAAGATGAATTTATCATATTAATTGGCTGGTGAGCTGAATCGATAAGTCGATAATAAGGTACTTTTTTCTAACAGCTAATAATGGAATGGCAACCTTGTCTGCGCTGTCGGTATGCACTGGCATTAATGAGGAATGGATGGGATGGACAGGTGAAGATTAAAACAAGATGTAACGAATTCATCAAGAATTAATAACAAGGGTATCCAGGAGGAACTGCGTGGAGGTCGATCTGAGAGGGATATTTCGAGCAATAAGGTTATTAGTTATCTTTATCATCTCAGCCATCATCTGTCTGTTGAACATAGACCTCCCCATAGACTGACATAAAAAAGGTTTAAAGGCCATTTACGTCTGACTTCATACAATGCATTTGAGATCGTCACTCTATTTAGTGGGGGGGGGGGGGGGGGGGGTCGTCCAACACTGCGTTTGGCATACGGAATCACCACTCAAGAACCTTTGTTCCCCATCGGTTGTCTGCTCTTCGAGCTATGTGACAAGCCTATTGCCAGTTCAGATTGCTTATCCTTGGGAATATGTCGGTGACTTTCGTTCATTTGCAGGTATCCTCATTTCGGATTCTGTCACGCAAAGAAACTCATAACCCTCTTTATAGCTCGTTGATTAATTTGAAGCTTTTGTATACGAGCAACCGTGTAGGACCATGTTTAGGTTCCACAGATAATCACTGGTAATACGCATTGGTCATGCATAACGATGGTAACACCATCGTCCTCAAACTTTGAGGTATTTTTGATGAAACGATGTAACGTAGTTTTCCTAACGCAGCCCAGCTAAGTTGGATTCGTCGGTTGACCTCTCGGTCGAAGTTGGATTCACTTAGTCGTACAAGTTTTCCTAGGTACATAAACTTGTCGATAACTTCAAGCGTACTGTTTTGACATACGCGTAACCAGCATAGGTGTGATATGGACGTTAGACATGATTTAGTGTAAATAAATCCTTTCTACCCTTGATAATGTACTCTATGTCTATATAATCTCTACACGAGTATCTACCTAATTGAATAATAATTTATGTACATTAATATATTTTATATATTAATGGCGTGAATCTACAGGGTACAGAGGAATAACACCTTTTTTTTCATACACCTTGTGGGAGGTGAATGGGTACTGTGGGAATCCCTCCGTAAAGTGGGGGTGTACCCACCAAAAACCAGACGATATACCCTCGAGGTGCCATATGTTGGAGACATGGGTTCGCTTTCACACTCACCACATCTCCGACGGCAGCAACCCGCCCCCTGATGGTAAGAGCAGGTCTCCTCTCTCAAGATAGGGTGGATGGCGTGCTCACCCTACCACTCGGGAGATCCAAGCGTGGCACTCCTCCGTCAGAGGAATAACACCTGAGTTTTTTTTTATACAACTTAGAACGGCAAACAAGCTGACGGCCCACTTGATGAAAAGCGGTAACCGTCGCCTATAGACATGAGCATTACCATGGACATAACAACATGAGGGTAAAACCTTTATCACATACAATATTGCATGATGTAGTAAGGATTAAAATAAGTAAGTCATGATGATGGTAAGTTTTGATTGTTTTCGCTCACGGCGACCGTTTTAACGCCACTATTGTAGATTTATTGTTTGTATAAAGGACTGTTGTTAGCGTTGGTATGGTTGGATGTGGCTTACTAAGCCAATCTTTTTAATAAAGGTCCTTGCACATAGCGGGCATGCAATCACACAATTTGAATTATGGAAAAAATTTGAATTATGGAAAAAATTTGAATAAACCGTATCCATTTAAATATAATTATTAAAATTTATACAGAATTGGTTTAATAATTGTGTAAGGCAGCACGAAAATATAGATGAATTGATCGTCCATTTAGCTTTCACGCATATTCTACGTTTTGGACTTTTTCATTAGCGACAAAGATAAATGGAAACCCGGAACTCATTACCCTATAAATACGAATGTTTGTAACGATGGATGGATGGATATTTGTTTCTCTTTAAGACATAAACTATTGAACGGATTTAAATTAAATTTGGCATACAAGCAGGTTACATCCTAAGTTAGCGCATAGGATACTTTACGTATTATAGCTAGTGTAAAATAATGCAAAGTAATGTAAAATAAAATAATGTAAAATAACATCGCGGAGGTTTTCTTAAATGTCATTAAGTATAATTAATGGTTCTTGTTCAAACGAGTACTTTTGCCAAGTACATACACTTGTATACAGTTATGTATAAGATTACGTCGAGAATATTCTGTGAAACGGCGGGAGAAGCGACACCTGTTACTTTGTTGAATTAGAAATATTCGGCGAAATGTAGCTAAGTAGATTGATGAAAGGGTTTTTAGCTAAAAATTGTAACGTTGATTTAATTCATATGTGAATCATACTTCGGTCCGGGCATAGAACGGGCCACCCCTTCCTTTTCCATGGGAGTTATAAGAGGCGACTAAGGAAATTTAATGGTAGAGTGAGAGGAATGGCAGCATCGTCCCTCTTAAAACATTAATAAAAGCCTAACGACAGTTGCCAACCTGTCCGCTAAAAATAGGAAAAGTTTCCTTCTGGGGAAAGCTTATGTTCAGCAGTGGACAGTTCAGGGCTGATATGATGATGAGAAGTCATATTGTATAGTAATTAAATTAATTAAAGTGTGTAAAGCCAACATAAGAAATAATTACAAATGGTAATTAAGGGATTTCCTTAATATCAAGAATATATATATATATATATATATATATATATATATATATATATATATATATATATATATACATATATATATCAGGTTTTAAGTTAGACCTACAAATGTGAATACCTCAACCAATTCCAACATTACCCATTAACTATTGAATCAGTTTTTGTATGATGTCGGAATAAATATACATTCAAACAGACAGACAGATGAACAGAGAGGCAACATTTCTAAAAATTATTATTTGGCATCTATTGCTCTTATTACAACTCCTCATATTATTATTTTTTAAATTTTTTCCATGTACAGACATCATCCAGTTATAATTTTTATATATTTTTTATACAACTTAGAATGGCAAACAAGCTGACGGCCCACCTGACGGAAAGTGGTAACCGTCGCCTATAGACATGAGCAGTACCATGGACATAACAGAGTAAGTATACTGTTTTGCCCATGATACCCCCCATGTGTTGCCATTCCTGAGGACTCAGATGTTATTCCTCTGTATCCAGTAAATTCACGCCATATCCCACCCTTAAACCGAAACACAGTCATGCAAACACAACTGCTTCACGGTTGAAAAACGAATGACCTAAACAAAAAGTAACCTAGTCTCATACAAGCATGGGGTTCTTCAAAAAAGTGATAAAGAGGTTTTCAGGGTCGGCAATGCGTAATACCCCTAGTATTGCAGGTGTTCATAGGTTATGGTAATCACTTACCATCTGGTGGGTCGTATACTTATATGCTACCTCAGTGTTATAAAAAAAATAAGTCGTACCTTTTATTTTTTTTATTTCTTTTGTCACAACATCACATTTTTTTTACACCGAATATTATCTATATTATCTAGTTATTTCACGGCTAACAATATGATTCACAAAGAAATATTTCACAAATAATATCACGTCCACTATGTACAGGTAACATAATAATAATTAGATTGATATTTAGAATCATTATCACTTAATGACGCCTTCAAAAGTATCGGCAACCGGATAAAATACTGATTCCACAGATAAGATAGCATTTTCAATAATTGTGTATTTAAATACATTTTATCAGGACTGATTTATTTTTTATTTATACTACACTAGTTTTTACCCGCGAATTCGTCCGTGTGATCGGATTATATTGATTAATCAGAATAAATATAAATCTATGCCCTTCTTTACCCCAAACACTATCAAAACTAAAGAATTCTTAAATGCATATCAAATTTCATAATGGTTAGTTAAGCTATTGAAGCCAGAGCAAAAGGTAACAAATGGACATACAAACTTTCTTTTATATTTATAATTTTAGTAAGGATTTATATTATATTAGATTCAGCATTATTATTTACTTGGTGTTGGTAATATACAATTTCCTAACAATTTAATCTACTGATATTTATATATATATATATATATATATATATATATATATATATATATATATATTCGGTTATTCATCATACTTCCGGTCTGATAAATATAAGGTACTTTTATATACGAGTACATACATATTAAATATAATTGCTTTTAAAATTAGAATTAATATGTGTATTTTTAAAATACGAATTTGGGTGTTTTGTATTTTCTTCCTGGAAGGTAAATAGAGATATACAATGTATAGTATTAACTGTCTGATGATATAGAAACGAAATAAATATTCAGGGATCGTTTTTTTTTATTTACCTCCTATATATCTCTTCATTTATTTCACATTTTTTTTGTTACTAGCAGTTTACAGATGATTAAATTTCAACACACTTGGAGATCGCACTCTTGGTGAGATTGGTATATACAAGTTTTAACATTAGTATCTATGCGCTATTTTTATGTAAAATAAGATGAGAAAAAAGATACAGTATTTATGTAGTCAGTATTAGCTTTTGCCCGCTACTCTGTCCGCCTGACCGAGATCTTTCGATTGACTGGGACAAAAAGAAGAATAAAAAGTATATAAAGTTTATATTTATTTGCAACATTTTCAATATTTTTCACTGCATAATTAAATTTCTGTTTCGACAAAGGTCGACTGGGAGAGAATGCTATATAGTGTTAAGTCCGCATTTTGTACCAGACATTTTTTTGTAATGTGGTCAATAAATAAATAAATAAAAAGGAACTACCTATTTAGTATAATGTAAATTTCATAATGATTGGCTAAGCAGTTAAACCACCAAGAGGTAATAGAGAAAACCCTGCTTAATTGAATTTAAATGTAAAAAATATGCTGTAATATAATTTTCATAGACTCATGCTAAAAGCTGATTGAGTGCACATACCTATACAAAACTATCGTTTAAGTGCAGCCTTAAATTGATTTTGCAATAATCCTATATAGTAGATTATGTATGTGGGAATAGATATCGTGCACAAAGTACTTAATTATTATGGTAAAAGATAAGTACGATCTATTTCTTACCTAGGAATATTAGATTTATGAAGTAACGCAATAAAACTTTTTTTTTATAACACAAAGGGCAAACGAGCATGTGTCTCACCTGATGGTAAGTGATCACCGCCGCCCATGATCAACCACAACACCAAAGGCATTGCAGGTGTGCTGCGGCCTTTTAAAAAAGAATATGCTCTTGTCTTGAAGGTTATGATGTCGTATCTGTTCGGAAATACTGCTGCTGGAAGTTGATATTTTAAAAGTAAGTTCTGGTTTAGTTGTGATTATTAATAGTACCCACTATTTAAAATAAAAGCAAGTGGATGGTAAATGTTACGTTTTTGATATGGGTTTCATATTAATATAAAAAAATCATAACTTCATAGCTGTGTAAAAATATGCGTATAATTGTATGTACAAGAGCGAAGAGCTGCAGACAAACTGTAAAGCTGTTGAATGAATAAGTAAATATTCTTTTTTCTCATTAAAACATTGACGTCTTATTACCGTTTATGTATTTAGTATTTTGTGCGTTTTTCGAACTCCTCCATCCATTAAAAGCTTAAGTAATTTTATTAAAGTATTAAAGCAATTTCTGAAGAAATCGACAAATTGTTATATAAAAATGTGATGCAATAAATGCAAAACAATATATAGAAACTGTGTCATTTGCTTCTAAGTAAAGAAAGAGTTTTATTGACATTCAGACATTCGTAATATGTATGTTTATATTATGTATTCATTATCATCATCATGCCAGCCATAAGGAACACTCCTCATGGCGGATTATCATTAGAGGTTTTTGCCAGAACTTAATATGCTTGCTGGGCAGACGGATTGGCAACCGCAGATTGGCTTTTGGTGATGTTTTAAGAGGGACGCTGCTGCCCGTCCCTCGAGCATTAAGTTCCCTTAGTCGTCTTTTATAACGCCCACAGGAAAGGACGGGGTGGCCCATTCTATGCGGGGACTATACAGCAATAATATATTGTATAAACTAATAATATATTGCATAAATTGTGTATTATATTATATAAACTCAGATGTAAAGTTTGAATTGTTACAAGTACGAGTATGTCGGTGTATCTCTGTGGAATTATAGCATAGCCACAGAGTAAAAATATTCACTGGCATAGTTTTCAAAAGGACTAAAATATTTTATGATACGTTACGATTGATACTGAGCTGTTTATATTATTTGTAAGTAGATTTGCATGGATATGCTTCAATTCAAATAAAAATAATTAATTTTCAAATGCCTTCAAAGAGAAGGAGATTCTGAATTTGATTTTTTTTAAGTTTTTTACGACTTAACTCTGTCGGTCATAAACTAATTTGCAATATCTTTTTTATCTGTAAAGATATATATTATACTTGCAAATAGGTCTCATAGAAATTGTATCAAACTTAATTCAGTAGTTTGGTTTTTAAATCAATTTAACTAGTTATCATTATCATCGTCATTTTAGCCATTATCCGTTCAATGTAGGACATATGTAGATCTCCTCCATAGACCGCCATAAGGAACGGTCCTGAGCCACTTGCATTTACTGACTCCCTGCAATGCATTTGAGGTTGTCACTCCATCTAGTGCAACTAGTTATGTGATAATTGAAATTAGTTTATATTTAGTAGAGTATAATTTTAAATTAAATTATGCCGTGTGGTCCTGGCATAGAATAGGCCACCCCTTCCTTTCCCGTGGGTGTTGTAAGAACTGACTAAGGGAGGGCGAGGTATGGGCAGCAGCGTCCCTCTTAAAACATCTCTAAAGCTTGACTGCGATTGCCAACCTACTTGTCAAGCGTGGCAACTACTGGTAATACCCCCAAAGGGGGATGCTTATGTTTAGCAGTGGACAGTTAAAGGCTGATGAATCTTAAATTATGAATATTTACTCTGTGGCATAGTGTCCAAATGAATGGATCAATAAGTTTCATGGTTCTATCATTGATAGAGAGCTATACTATCTATCACACGTATAGGTACATGCTTGAATTCAAATTGAAAGTGCTTAATTTGGAATCGCAGTACGTGTACGCACAAACGATATTAGATTTTGTGCAATATGTTAGTTTAACGTGGGAGGGTAGGTATCTAATATTGTTGAAATTCACCGTTGGTGCGTGAATCGTGAAACGGCAAACATTTCATGTATGCAGATCAAAGCAGTGCGCGACTGTCCACACAAAGAGGTTGTGAGGGTATTTTAAAACAACATTTAAATTGCCATTTTGCAACATTTATATCGGCATAGTATGGGATTTTCTTTTCTTTTCTTTTCCGTGGGTGTTGTAAATGGCGACTAAGGGGATTTGATGGTTAAGGGATGGAAAGCAGCATCCTTCTTCACCTTTACTCTTCAACTTCACCAAAGCCTACCTGCGGTTGTCAACCCATATGCCAACTACTGGCAAAGTCCCTCTTATGGGGGAGGTTTATGTTCTGTAGTGGAGAGTCAACTGCTGATATGGTATGATTATTATCTTGTAGCTTAATTCGTGTGAACCGGTGGCTTTTTTAATGCATAATAATAATGTATATTGGCGGGTAACCAGTGAAGGATTGATTAATCGTGCGAGTTTAAATAAAAAAGAATTAGAACGAGAGTTTATACATATCAATAAAGGTGGATAAAATGAGAAATGCGTGTAAAGATAGAGAGAGCTACGGCTACTTGATTTTCTCTATTTATCCTATAAGGAATGAAATTTTTTTTTATATCTCGAAGGTAGCCCGTCTGATGGTAAACGGCCACTGTAACCTATGGACGCCTGCAACACCAGGTCACGTGCGCATTGCCGACCCTGAAGAAATGCAAAAAATAAGAATAGAACACAGTGTATTGCTAGAAGTGTCATAACTCTTGCAATATTGAGATTTATTCGATAAAATTTATATTTGTACGTATTTAAAGTATTATAAAAGGTAGACTAGTTTTATAAGTGATACCCGTACAAATAAAAATATTTTTCATAACATTTTATAGAACTTATTTATGTAGCAAATATAATTTAAAATATTTCAGTTGTTTAAGCGTGATTGAGTAAAAAATATCCAAATATTTTTATAAATTTTCGCATTTATAATAGTAAGAAAACAAAGCAAAGTCGCAATCAGTATTTTATCTGTATATTTTATTTATTTATTTATACATTAGTTCAAATATGTGTACATGGCGGACTTAATGCTAAAAGCATTCTCTCCCAGTCAACCATAGGGAAGTGTCAGAATACTCGAATGCGGTACTACTAATTATTGATATACATACATACTAAAAATATATTCCATTCTCAGTATGTAGAACTCAGTGTTACACGCACAAATACAGAGAGACAAACGCTTAAATAGATGCTTTCAAAATAAATAAGCGCTGGAAACTCATATAATATACAATCATTCTGTTTAGCAGTTAAATACAAATTCGTTAGAGAGAAGCGCTCTGAAAATGTGTGTACACACTTGTATGTTGTGTACTTACCTTTAACTTGTTACGTTTGTGTATATTAAATTTATTAAGGGCGTATGTCATAAAATGGTCACATAATTCGAAGAA